GATAAATCCTACGATCAAAATCATATTTTGCCAGCAATAATTTATTTGTAATAAAAGATATCCGATGACAGCAGAGGTGTAGTGATATTTCCGGTAAGATATCAAACCTAAAAGTAGCCACCAAATAAAATCAATCAAAAATAAATAGTTGAACTTACCACAACGCAACACAAAATTGAAAATCAAATTAAGCACAAAATTCGATACGATGAGTATGATTAAATTTTTACCAGACGGTGTAATATAACTCATCATCTGCCGAACAACCTCGAAAATCTCACTCTGCTCTGGAACCCTGTATAATAGAAACATCAATAATAATCTTATTTTAAAAACTTAATCTACTTACTGTACTAGTTGTACTAAATAATCATGATACATCAACGACAATGTAATAATCATCCAAAAAACAGTCAATGCACAGATATACAAGCTCCATTTTATGATACCCCAAAATATTTTCAATATTTTCATGTACACCCAGCCTAAATAACATTATTAAATTAATTGAAAAAATCGTGATATAAAAACGAATTTTACCTTCGCCCAATAACCTCAGATTCAAAAATCTTGGTATAAATCGATCCATTTTAACCAATTAAGGAAAAAAAGGCGTCTTGAGCAACCTAAAAGGAATTTAGTAATCTTAAAATAATCTAAATCAACAAGAAATCGGAATAAATGCCCAATAACGAACTTTATGAAGCAACGTGGTGGCTACCCTGACGATACTGCACATGCGCTTTGAGTTTGGGGCCTCAAAAAACATGCGGAAACAAGTTCTTTTTGTTTTGGATGTTCATTTAGATTTAGATCAAGGATAATTATTAAAAAATCGCTTTACGAAGCAGCGTGGTGAACGCTATCAACAATTGAGTATGGAGCGCATGCGCGTTAGCCATGGGGCTCCGAAAGAATCATGCTGCAACAAGTTCTTTTTGTTCAACAATTACAAATCGCGTTAAATTACAACAAACTTTTAACTTTATGTAGGAAAAAATTTGCTTACCGCCTTCTAATCAGCAAGGAATGTGAATTAACTTTGAAGAAACAGCCAAAATTAAGGTTCAAATGCAGCGTGGTGCACGCTGACGAAGCTGATGACGCACTGTGGACTACGTGAGCTATGAATCTGGCGAATCGGAAATAAGTACAGCTAAAAAAATAGTTTCATCTTTTTTTAATTCTTTACCAATTTAAATTATTGCAACATAGTAACTTTTTTTAGTCTATTATAGGAATATGCCATATGTTTAAATTAATAGTTTTAAATTAATACAATTAATAACATTTCCAACCGGAAGTGACCTTCTTCACTTCATCTTTCTCTAACATCCATTATAAATTACGTTAGGTATGTTTGCGACAAAGTTAAGTTGGTCGGTGGTGTCAATTGTTGTGATGGGATTGGATTTAATCCTTCGATATTTAATAAATATTTATCTACCTGAACGTTCTCAAAATGTTGGAGGAGTCAGCTTATTAAAATAATATTGAAATAGAGAAACGAACATTAAAAATCTTTGATTTCTACCATAAACTTTGCTGAAATCGCATTTAGTCGCATCTAGTTTAGTATCGATGTTGTCAATTGTAACACCTCAGCAGCAAGCAACCTCAACTTGCACAGGCAAAATATTAGATTCGTTACTGTGAGCTTAATCTAGGTTGATCTTAAGTTCTCTTTAAGAACTCAATAAAATGTTACATCCCCATGCACTGTCTAATTCTGCGATACATGCTCTGAATGAGATGATCAAAGATATCTTGTAGAATCCTATCCCAGGCTAGCTGTAGATGACGACAAAGTTCTGCAAGGTGTTTGCTGCTTGTGGTAAACGCCTTATATAGCGACCCATCATATCTCAAACATGCTTGATCGAGTTTAAATCCGGAAAGCGAGCAGGCCAGGGGACAATTTTTACTCCTTCTTCGTGTAGGAGGTTCTGACAACTGACATTTACTTTGTGATGCAGTTTTTAACTTTATGATATGATGTTTTTATCACCTACTTTTTACATCATCCAGTTGTTTTGTTAAGATTCCAGCTTAGTGACTCATCTTCAAACTCTAAACTCAATAATAACTTTAGAAAAAACTGTCCCAACCCAATGTCTGGGATTACATAAAGGACAGTCTATTAAGGAAGCTGCTTTACTCTTGCCATGAGGCAAGTTTTTGATTGTAATTTGAAATACGCTGAAAAACTAAGCTGCAAATGTTGCTGAGGTGGTTAACAAATACAAATACAGGATAAATATTGAAGCTTTGGTGAAATAAGAAAAAGTCCACAAATTATTTTTTAAACTTTTATTAGAACATTATCAAAAAAACGTACGATACAAACACGTTATCATTAAAATTGAACATCAAATCGTACATCTACCACAAAATAATACTGTCTTTATTAACTAACCTTGCGTATTTTAAATACTTAACTAAATGAACATAATAAACATTAACTTTACAAAAACATTTTTTTTTTACTGATAAATAATAGACAAAAATACATTTTAATTCATGCAGAGCAGGGTTACACTCCAAACGAAAGAACTAACGTGGGAATAGATTCCCAAATCATCCCATGCTTGATATAAATCCCAAATTGATTTCGTTTCAAAATCGCTGTGCATAATATGGCCCAAATAAGCTAAATGAAGTATGTTCAAGATGGTGTTAAAACCGTTTATAATCAAAGTAATCGGATGCCAAAAACCGAAACGATGGTCACAGATGTCACGACAACCGGATGGTTGACAACAACAGTTAAGCCAGCGAGCCAACTTATTTTGGATGAGTTGTTGGGACTGCGCCAAAAGTACCACGTTTAATAAGATCATCATTACACGTACTTTTAAACCAAACAACAACGATGCTTGTAGATATGTCATTAATATTGCGTAGCCCGGTCCTATTTCAAAAAATGGGTTGTAAATACCTAGAAGAAAATAATTACTTGTGAAAAGAATTTCGCAAAAGATGATTAAAAGTGACTTACACTCTCTTAAAAAACGATAAGTGGGAATATTCCAGTTTTCCGCAACAGTTTGCATCGATCTTGGAGCTTCAACTGTAAGCGGTCGAGTAACAGGATAACTCCAACGTTGTTGGCGGTCGTAGTAGTGATAAGCATTAAATCCCGCTACTAACATGGTAAATTCCCCCAAATAACCAATGAAATAATTGGTTCCCCGGAATACGAAAGCGTTCCGAAAAGCTTCATGCCATTTCCCCGGAAGAAATGTTCCCCCTTCAATCGGAATGAGGGCGTTTATCAAACAGTTGCTTATAACCATATAAATCATGGCATAGGTGAAGATTTGGATCATTTTGACAAGCCATTTCCAGTTTAATTTCGAATGGTGAACGTAATAAAGCATGTAGGCGTCGTGAGACATCCATGGACCAAAAACAACGCTGGCCGGGCAAAATAAATAACCCAAAAATTCCTTATAAGATACACGTTTTAAACAGTAATCATCAATCGATATACTAATAGTTTTCATAGCCATTATCACCATAACTACACGACATTCCTGCCAGTTACTCTTATATGGGTAAAAAAATTCCCTAAATTAAACAAAACAAAAAATTTACAAAAATATATCAGTAAAAACAAATTTTTTTACCCTAAACAAAGAATTCCTGTCAAAGTAACCGCAACAATATATACAGGACGGATGATTTGAACTTCTCTATTCATCAAAATCTTGAGACGTACTATCAACATCAAAATCATTGTCAAAAATCCTAGAATTAAACCCATATCCCCCGAGGCACAATTCAATTGCAATGCCAGGTATCCAAGCACAATTGACATAAAATGATATCTACGGTACGATGGGCGACCTAAAATGGTTACAAAAGCAATAAAATTTGCTAAAAACAAACTAGTTTAACTTACGATAACGTACTACTAAATTGAAAATTAAATTCAGTACAAACACCGATCCCATCAGCATAATCAACTCCGAAACTGGTGGTCTAATACACATCAGGATGATCTCACGTAAGAACTTACACTGGTCTGGGTACCTGTTTATAAATATATCAATTTAATCTATTTATTAATCTAAATTAAATGCACTTACAGAAAATAAACTTTATGCAGTAATGGTGGAAGAATAATCATCCAGAAAAAAGCTAACAGCAAAATTTGGAAGCTCCATTTCATAAAACTCCAAGTTTTGGACCAATTCGACCCCGCTTTTAAAAATTAATAATAAAAAACGATTTTTATAACGGTTTATAAAATTAAAATAAAACTTACTTTCCAAAGGTAACTCAATTTCCTCCACTTCTACTCTCTCCATTTTCGTAAGCTTTTCTTAATCACCAGCAAAAAATAGACTAGACTAGAAACTTTATTTAGGATTAAGGTGACTTACTTTGTCGCAGATAGTTTAGAAAAATGTTTCAAACACAAACTACAACAGCGTGATGAATGCTATAGTGGCGCCACCGATGTCGGTGACTGTAATTTTTAGGTTATGTGATTTTAGATTAATTGTTTAAAAAAAACGGAGAAATCACTTACTGCGTAATTTTAACGGAGTTATATTCAACAACTTCAACTTACGGGAGTTCTCGATAAATAATTTAACTCGAAATGCACGTTATTTACCACGAAAAACCGAGCCAACATGAGATTCGGACGTACACAAAATGGCGGCAATTTTTAAGGTTAGGAATCGGTTTGGTAATTTTGAATTTAAGCGCCGCGCATGCGCGGTAACTACCACGAATTCAAGTGTTGAAATAACGATTTTAATAACGAAAGTTATTTATTGAAAATTTTGTTTTTCAAGCAAAGTAGATTAATAACTCGTAAAACTACGAATTCAGCAAATTTTCATATTTTTCTTGACATTTATGCATCTGAGAGGAAAAATGAAAGAGAGCAATTTGTTTTAAAAGCTTTTTTGTAATATGCTCCGAATTCCGAGTATTTTATCATGAAAAATTGATTAATTTTGGTCGTTTTAAACTTTTTTTTTGAATATACCTACCAGATAATAGAATACATTTTGTCATATCTCCAACAGTAGTCGAGATAATTGTTGTAACAACTAAAATCATACTCATATTTACATTTTTAAATTTTTTTTATTAGAAAATCATTACAAAAAATACAAAACACAATTGAAATTGTGACAAAAAATATTTCTACGAGAACACAACATTATTTTTTTTTAATATAAACGTATTTCAAAGTAAACGAAAACTAAACATTAATTCTAAACAAATTTTTTTTTAACTATAGTAAGTAGTAGTAATTTAACACAGCCTTTAGGAATGCAGAATATAAATTTAGTCATCTAAAGGGTTTTAAGATATAAACAACATGGTTGCCCACCAAACCAACATAAGAAAGTGGGTTTGCACACCGAATTCATCCTCCCATATTTCATACAATTCGTAAATTGTGGTTCTCTCGAATTTCCTATCCATAACGTAACCCAAATAAGCCAAATGAGATACGTTTATTACCATGTTAAAACCGTTAATAATCAAAGTAATGGGATTCCAAGGGCCGAAACGATGCTCGCATTCGTCGTCACAAGGATTAACGCAACAACAGCAGTCAAACCAGTAAGCTAATTTATCTTGGATGATTTCTTGAGAATATGATAAAATTCCCATTGTAAGCAAAATCAACATCATACGTGCGTTAAAGCCATTCAATAATAACGCCAACACAAACGTCATAGTGAGTCCACAAACATAATTAATTTCTGAAAATGGACTGTAAACGCCTAAAAGATAAAAAAATATTAGTAAAAAAATAATTATAACAAAAAAAAAAGCACTTACAATCTTTGAAAAAACGATAAGCTGGAATATTCCAGTTTTTTAGAACAACAGCCATTGATCTTGGACATTCAATATTCGATGGCCGAGCAACGGGATAATCCCAACGTTGTTCCTCATCATAATGTTGATAAGCATTAAATCCTGCGGTAAGCATAGTAAATTCAGCCATATATCCGGTGCAATAATTGCTGGACCGGAATGCGAAACTGTTTCGAAGAGCTTCGTGCCATTTCATTGGGATATAGAAAGCGTCTGAAATTGGAGTTATGCTTTGTACCAAACAGTTGCTTAGAATCATGTGTGCCATAGCGTAGGTGAAGGCTTGAATCGTTTGGGTGAACCATTTCGCACTCAATTTTTGACGATGAACATTATTAAGAGTGTAGGTGTCCATGGACATCCACGGGCCAAAGAGAACGCTGGCCGGGCAAAGCAAATAACCTACTAATTCTACAGTAGTAATACGTTTTAAACAGTAATCGTCGGTTGATATGCTAATAACTTTCATAGTCATTACCATCATAATGGCACGACTTCCCTCCCAAACGCGTTCATAAGGAAAGAAAAACTCCCTACAAGAAAAGATTAATTAATTAAAAAATACTTTAAAATAATTTAGTATTTACCCCAAGCAAAGAATAGTGGTCAAAATCAACGTAATGGTGTATACAGGCCGGATTATTTGCCTGTCCCTCTCAACAAAAACTTTAAGTCGATTTACCAACAAAAAAATTATCAACATAAACACCATAATTACAACCATGCTTTTCGCGTTGCAATTTATTTGCAATAAAACATATCCAATAGTAGCTGACATAACATGATATTGACGGGAAGTTAGGCGCCCTTAAATTATTATAGCATAAATAAAGTTTATTAAAAAAAAATCATTTAACTCACGACAACGCAGAATGAAGTTAAATAATAAATTAAGCGCAACGGCCGATGAAATGAGTATAATGAATCCTTTTACAGTTGGTCTAGTACAAACCAAGACGAACTCTCTAATAACTTCACCCAGCTCCTCACCTCTGTACAATAAATAATCAATAATAATTCATTTAATAAGCAATTAACCAACTTACACGAAAAAATCGTTATCCATTATCGGCGGAATAATAAATAACCAAAAGAGAGCCAGCAGGATAATTTGTAATAACCATTCCGTTAAATACAAAGATGTTTTAAAGACTCTCTCAGCATCCCAATCTGTACATCATGATAATAAAAACATAAAAAAGAAAAAATAAATAAATAAAAAAATTTACCGTCAAATGAGAAATCTCGGCGCCATATTCTAAACCGTATGTATCTATCATACAAAAATCGAGGCACAAATCTGTCCATTTTTGCCGATTTTCTCTCTTAATCTTCTTAATCTAGAAAGAATATGAACTAAAATTAGATCAGATCTTTTTATCAAAGATTAATTTCCCACATCTTTCCCAAAAATCCTCTCACCCCAATCGACTTGTTTCAAGCAATTTCAATAACAAAAAAATCTGCGAAACAATTTTGATCATTTTTGTTTAATGCAATCTTTAAACAACATATTTCTAGGAGGAAACCAGTTGATGTCGAATATATTTGGAGAACAATTGAAAAAACCAAGTCTTGTACTTAGACAAAGAAATAGAGCGAATTAGACAACGTCATAATGCAATTAGATGAGAGATTTATTACACACAAAGATAGAATTTCTCTAAAATGGTTGAAAACATATTTAAGAAATACTCTAAGTGAGGATAGATTAAATAGAATGTATATTTATCCTTCAAAAACAATGAAAGTTGGATGAATTTCAAAAGAAATCTTCTGGAACACTAGAAAATAATCAAATCTTATGTTTGCGCATGCGCTGTGTTTAAAACTACTCATAAAAATAATTTTCTTTATTAAACATTTAAAATCGGATTAAATTGTGAACAAAAAACATTCTTAAACATAATAAAAACTACTTTAATAAAAAATGTATCTATTACGAAGATAAAAAAGCATCTCAAAATCAACAATTTAGTATGGTTTTTAGGTTATGTTGTGATTAATTTGAAAAAAGGAGTATTTTGTCTTTTTTACTTCGTAAAATATAACAACTTTAACTTACAGCAGTTTTTGTTGAGCTTTTAACACTGAATTCACGTTGTTTATCAATAATTTGAACAAAACCACGAAAAACAAGGAGATTGAAACAAACGTTGGAGCGTCGTTAATAAAATGGCGGCTGCTGTCAAATTCAAAATGCGTCTCTGGCGCCATAACGGCGACAAATCCAACTAAATTATATTGTTGCAACAACGATTTTTCTAATTATTTCAATTTGAGATTAAGTTAATAATAAAAACATTACACTAAAGTATATTGGGGCAAATTTATTTCCAAAAATAGGGTTAAAAAGTACCCCAACAAAAATGAGGTTATGTGTCCAAAAATTAACAAAACAAAAAAAAAACGTTAAAATTCGCTTACCCCGTAAAATATGATTTATTGTAATTTGTGGGAGTATATTTAAACACTTTTACACTGAAATTTACGAAGTATTTTGGATGATAGCTACTAAAAACGAAATAAACTTAGGAACTGACGTAATGGCGGTTACCATCAAGGTTAGAGCAGAAGCTGTGAGGTGGCGTGCTGGTTCACCGGAAGTCCGGAAGCACAGAATCCAACAATTATTGTTAGATATTCTGGGGCGGAAGTGTTACTTGGAAAAAAGCGGTAAATTTCAAAAATTTTTTATTTAACATAAATATTAACTATTGGGATATTAATTGATTACTTGAGAAATACAATGTAAACAAGTAATTTTAAAATAAATTTTATTAGAAAATCGTTACAAAACCTACAATACATCAAACTCGTCACTATAAAAATTTATTTCTACTACAAAATAATACTGTTTCTTTACACAAATGTGAGTACTTTTAATGCAAAACTAAATAAACATTCTTCAAAATAAACGAAAACTAAATATTGACTCTATAAAAAAACATGGCCTTTTTGTTCTTAAGGCACCGTTTCTTTGGTATTAATAATAGACTTAACACAGCCTTTAAAAACTGAGAGAAAATCAACTCAACCATCTAGAGTATTTTAAACCACAAACATCATGGTTCCAAACCAGATCAAAATAACATGATGCGTAAACAAACCAAAATCATCATCCCATGTATGATAAATATCCCAAATTGTGCTCCGATCAAAGTTTTCGTCCATAATATGCCCCAAATAGGCTAAATGAAAGACGTTCAAAATCATGTTAATCCCGTTAATAAACAAAGTGATTGGGTGCCAAAATCCGAAACGATGTCCACAATTTTCTCGGCAAGCATTTATGCGGCAACAACAATTAAACCACTTTGATAATTTATCCTGAACGACTTGTTGGGAATGGGACAAAATTCCCAAACTTAATAAAATTATGGTTATGCGGGTATTCAAACCATGCAGCAATGACGATACCAAAAAAGTCAAAAAAATTGCGAAACCTCGGCTCACTACTAAATACGGAATGTAAACATCTAAAAAAAAATTATTTTTAAAAAATTATTAAACGAAATTATTTAACATTTACTTTCTTTCAAAAAACGATGAACTGGAATATTCCAATTCCGCACAACAACCGCCATAGATCTTGGAACCTCAGTCGCAAACGGTCGAGTTATTGGATAATGCCAACGTTCTTGAGGATCATTATGTTTATAAGCATTAAACCCAGCTGAAATCATAGTAAATTCAGACATATAACCGATAAAATAATTGCTGGCCCGGAATACGAAAGCATTTCGGAAAGCTTCGTGCCACTTGCAAGGAATGAACATAGCGTTTAGAGTCGGAACGAAAGCGCGTCCCAAACAATTCGATAAAACCATGAATACCATGGCATAAGTAAAAGTTTGAACCATTTTAACAGCCCATTTCCAGTTTAGCCTCGAATGATTAACGTAATTAAGTGTGTAAGTTTCCAAAGATATCCATGGCCCAAAAAGAACGGTAGCCGGGCAAAGCAAATAACCTAATAACTCAATGCAAGATATTCGCTTTAAATAGTAATCGTCATTAGACAAACTCATAGTTTTCATAGCCATTATCATCATAATGCCACGACATTCTTGCCAATTACGCGGATTCGGGAATATAATCTCCCTAAAAGAAAATAATTAAAAAATTTGAAATTTTTTTAAAAATTATTTACCCCAAACAAAGAATACCGATCAAAATCAACGAAACAAGGTATATAGGGCGTATCATTCCAACCTCCCTCACCATTAAATCCTTAACGCGTCTTACCAAGAAAAAAATTATCATGATAAATCCTAAAATTAAGATCATATTCCTGGTGTAACAATTTATTTGTAATACGATATATCCAATAATAGTGGACATAATGTGGTATTCCCGGCAACTTGGGCGGCCTAAAATAAATGTAATATAAACAAAATTTGTTAAAAAACATGAATTTATCGTACGAAAACGCAGAATTAAATTGAAAATTAAATTAAGTACCACGATCGTTATAATGCGTGTAATTAAATCTTGAACGGATGGTTTAACACAAACTGTAATGATCTGCTGAATGATTCCACCTCGCTCCGGATCCCTGTAAATTAAATTAAATTAAAGACTAAAATAAAGAATAAAGTAAATTTGATGAACTTACACTAAATAACCGTTGTGCATAAACGGTTGAAAAACAACCAACCAGAAAAGAGCTAATAAAATTATTTCAAAACTCCACTTCATCAAATATAAAAAACTTTTAAACATTTTTCCGCAATCTAGGTACAAAAACAAAGAAATAAACAAATTTGTAGAATGTTTTCATAAAATCTTACCTTCCAAAGAAAAATTTTGACTCCATAATTTTAACGCTATGAATCGGTCACCGAAGAAACGAGGTACGAAATGAATCCTTTTCACCATTTTTTCTTATTGATTATAATTGGAATAAAGATAAAAAAATCTCTGCAAAAATACTTTATTTTAAATAGTTAACAAATTCTATTTCTTTCAGTGTTATGAGAGCTGTAACACTGAACTGTTTGATTAATATCGTGTATATAGATTGATTTATTCGCAAATAAAAGCAAAATTAACAGAAAACATTTTGGGATGGTAAAAGGAGAGGAAGACAGAGCTATTTGGAACGGCCGAGATTACTTCATATATCATGAATAATACGTGGGGAGACAATTTCATGCCTGTATTTGCTTTGTAGACGTCGGCCGCCCCCAAGTACTGTTCGTGATATAAGAAACAATCTCGGCCGACTTCGAAGATGTCGGCCGCCCCAAGTATTATGACTTGCATCATAAACTTGTTAATAGTATCACTCAGGATTCAGAGTGTAAAACCAAGTCATAGAATAACTAGAAATGACACTTCTCTCGAAAGAAGCGAGTACTGCTACAAACAATACTTGGGACGGCCGACGTCTTCGAAGTCGGCCGAGGTTACTTCCTATATCCTCGGCCGCCCCAAATATCTTGTGATATAGGAAGTAACTTCGAAGACGTCACCGTACTGGAGGCGGCCGACGTCTTCGAAGTCGGCCGAGATTGTTTCTTATATCGTGAACAATACTTGGGGCGGCCGACATCTTCGAAGTCGGCCGAGATAATTTAATTCCTATATTTGTTTTGTAGACGTCGGCCGACCCAACTATTGCTTGTGATATAGGAAGTAACCTCGGCCGACTTCGAAGACGTCGGCCGCCCCAAGTATTACTTGTGATATAGGAAGTAACCTCGGCCGACTTCGAAGACGTCGGCCGCCCCAAGTACGGCGACGCCTTCGAAGTCGACCGAGGTTACTTCCCATATTATGAACAATACTTGGGGCGGCCGACGTCTTCGAAGTCGGCCGAGATAATTTAATTCCTATATTTGTAGACGTCGGCCGACCCAAGTATTGCTTGTGATATAGGAAGTAACCTCGGCCGACTTCCAAGACGTCGGCCGCCCCAAGTATTACGTGTGATATAGGAAGTAACTTCGAAGACGTCACCGTACTTGAGGCGGCCGACGTCTTCGAAGTCGGCCGAGATTGTTTCTTATATCATGAACAATACTTGGGGCGGCCGACATCTTCGAAGTCGGCCGAGATAATTTAATTTCTATATTTGTTTTGTAGACGTCGGCCGCCCCAAATATCTTGTGATATAGGAAGTAACCTCGAAGACGTCGCCATACTTGGGGCGGCCGACGTCTTCGAAGACGTCGGCCGCCCCAAGTATCATGACTTGCATCATAAACTTGTTAATAGTATCACTCAGGATTCAAAGTGTAAAACCAAGTCATAGAATAACTAAAAATGTGATACATCTTCTAAAGGATGTGACCCAGTGTTCTTTCTGGTTATTCTATGACTCTAGTATGCGATGCAGAATGCTTCAATTCAACGGACACAACAGATAACATTTCAAAAGTTACATTATCTTTAAAATTTGAGAAGTGATACCTGCTAATAAAAAAAAACGTCAAAAAAATTTTATCTAGAAAAATCATAAATTTATTTACATTGGAAGTACATAAGGAATAATATCCCGGACAATGACACAGTACGCATGCTTGGATTACTTGGATTGATAAAGTTTAATTTAACAAAAATGATGATAACTTCTTACCGTATAAATTGGAATGTCTCGAATGCGCAGAAAAGCACGTTAAACACTTTAATAATATATTTAACGCTTAATCCGTTGAAAATGGGGTAATAAAACTTAACCTCAACAATCCAATACACCAGTATGTTAATTTATTAACACTAGATGGCGCAATTGTACTTGCAAGAATGCAACATTTTTTTGTAAAACAAAAGTAATCAAATTTAAGTAATTTTAATTAAAACCAAAATAAATACAATTAAATTAATTAAACATTAGTCATCAAATAAAACACAAATTTAAAAAATTATTTTTGTTAAGATTCTTCGTCTTTTGTTTTGTTATATTTGGTACCTGTGAATCATTTTGATTATTTGACAGTTGCCGGTTTCGTTATGATAAAATGTTTAGAATATCGTTTAATACGGTAAATTTACTAAATGCGAGTTTAAAATGGTGTAATTTACCCCAAAAAGGGCGAAGAACATTAATACAGTTCGTCCCAAGGTTCACGCAGACAGCCTTTTATTCTAAAGGTAACACATTTCTTATAGGTTATGTCCACCTTATAACTTAATTTTAATTATTAGACGCACGCGATGTGAAATCTCCACTTGCAACGTTAATCCAACAACAAAACCAGGAACAGAAGCAAGAAATTCCACAACCTGATGATACCAAAACGGAGAAACAAAAAAATAAAGAGAAATCATGGCGACACATGAAATACACTTTTATATTTTTTGCTGTTTCATTAACATGTGGTGGCTTTTATTTAATCACAGAATTAGGTAGTCCTAAATATGATGATAATGGTGAACTTATTGTCGATCAGTTCACTGAGTTGCCTGTTGTGAAACAATATATTTTAAGAACACTAAGCGAGTTAGATTATTACAGCCAAGTTAGCAATTTCATTATTGAAATATTTATTTTATTTTTAACTTTATTTTTTTTATAGCTCATTAAAGAACCATCCCGCGAGAAATTACTTCCAGACTTAATAAATCATCCGATGTATCACCCGAAATACACTTTAGTTTTAGAATTTACTGATGTTATTGTTCATCCTGATTGGACTTATAAAACAGGATGGAGATTTAAAAAACGTCCTGGATTAGACAATTTCTTGGAAAGTCTACATGGAACTTACGAAGTTGTCATTTACACCGCCGAGCAAGGAATAACCGTTTATCCAATAATCGACGCATTAGATCAAAGAAGCTTAATAAACTACAAACTCGTTCGGGATGCAACACTTTTTGTTGATGGAAAACACGTTAAAGATCTGGATAAACTCAATCGAGATCTCTCAAAAGTAATCGTCGTCGATTGGAACGGCGATTGCACCAAATACCATCGAGACAATGTCCTAAAAGTTCCTCGATGGAATGGAAACGACGATGATACCGATTTATTAACGTTATCGTCATTTTTATTGGCTATTTCCCACAGTCAAATTGACGACGTTCGGGATGTTCTCAAAGTTTATCATCAATTTGATGACCCTTTGCTGGTTTATAAAGAACGCCAAAAAAGACTTATTGAACAAGCAGAAGCTGAAGCTGAACAAGAAAGAGATAAAACCTCAGCTCAATCGCCTATTAGTCGTTGGCGACCAACGTTTTTCAAAAAATTTTAAATTTAATTATGTATTCTCTTTTTTAATTAAACATAATTGTTAAAAAAATTATTTATTTTATTGTTAATGTATACACTGGCCACCAAAAAGTCAGTAATACTCCAAGTATTAGTCATGACACTTGGAGCAGCCGACATTATTATTCTTAACCTGCTTGAAATTTATGGAAAAAGTAATCTCGGCCGACTTCGAAGACGTCGGCCGCCCCAAGTAGCATGGACAATACAATAAGTCTACCCTGGTTAAANTCTTATAGGTTATGTCCACCTTATAACTTAATTTTAATTATTAGACGCACGCGATGTGAAATCTCCACTTGCAACGTTAATCCAACAACAAAACCAGGAACAGAAGCAAGAAATTCCACAACCTGATGATACCAAAACGGAGAAACAAAAAAATAAAGAGAAATCATGGCGACACATGAAATACACTTTTATATTTTTTGCTGTTTCATTAACATGTGGTGGCTTTTATTTAATCACAGAATTAGGTAGTCCTAAATATGATGATAATGGTGAACTTATTGTCGATCAGTTCACTGAGTTGCCTGTTGTGAAACAATATATTTTAAGAACACTAAGCGAGTTAGATTATTACAGCCAAGTTAGCAATTTCATTATTGAAATATTTATTTTATTTTTAACTTTATTTTTTTTATAGCTCATTAAAGAACCATCCCGCGAGAAATTACTTCCAGACTTAATAAATCATCCGATGTATCACCCGAAATACACTTTAGTTTTAGAATTTACTGATGTTATTGTTCATCCTGATTGGACTTATAAAACAGGATGGAGATTTAAAAAACGTCCTGGATTAGACAATTTCTTGGAAAGTCTACATGGAACTTACGAAGTTGTCATTTACACCGCCGAGCAAGGAATAACCGTTTATCCAATAATCGACGCATTAGATCAAAGAAGCTTAATAAACTACAAACTCGTTCGGGATGCAACACTTTTTGTTGATGGAAAACACGTTAAAGATCTGGATAAACTCAATCGAGATCTCTCAAAAGTAATCGTCGTCGATTGGAACGGCGATTGCACCAAATACCATCGAGACAATGTCCTAAAAGTTCCTCGATGGAATGGAAACGACGATGATACCGATTTATTAACGTTATCGTCATTTTTATTGGCTATTTCCCACAGTCAAATTGACGACGTTCGGGATGTTCTCAAAGTTTATCATCAATTTGATGACCCTTTGCTGGTTTATAAAGAACGCCAAAAAAGACTTATTGAACAAGCAGAAGCTGAAGCTGAACAAGAAAGAGATAAAACCTCAGCTCAATCGCCTATTAGTCGTTGGCGACCAACGTTTTTCAAAAAATTTTAAATTTAATTATGTATTCTCTTTTTTAATTAAACATAATTGTTAAAAAAATTATTTATTTTATTGTTAATGTATACACTGGCCACCAAAAAGTCAGTAATACTCCAAGTATTAGTCATGACACTTGGAGCAGCCGACATTATTATTCTTAACCTGCTTGAAATTTATGGAAAAAGTAATCTCGGCCGACTTCGAAGACGTCGGCCGCCCCAAGTAGCATGGACAATACAATAAGTCTACCCTGCTTAAAATTTATAGAAATAATCTCGGCCAACTTCAAAGACGTCGGTCGCACCAAGTATTGGTCATGATATTGGGGGGCGGCCGACGTCTTCGAAGTCGGCCGAGATTATTTTTTCCATAAATTTCAAACAGCATAGACTTATTGTATGGTTCATGATACTTGGAGCAGCTGACGTCTTCGAAGTCGGCCGATATTATTACTCTTAACCTGCTTGAAACTTATGGAAAAAGTAATCTCGGCCGACTTCGGAGACGTCGGCCGCCCCAAGTAGCATTGACAATACAATAAGTCTACCCTGGTTAAAATGTATGGAAATAATCGCGGCCGACTTCAAAGACGTCGGCCGCACCAAGTATTGGCCATGATATTGGGGGGCGGCCGACGTCTTCGAAGTCGGCCGAGGTTATTTTTTCCATAAATTTCAAGCACGATACTCTTATTGTATTGTTTATCATACTGGGGGCGGCCGACGTCTTCGAAGTCGGCCGAGGTTATTTTTTCCATAAATTTCAAACAGCATAGACTTATTGTATGGTTCATGATACTTGGAGCGGCTGACGTCTTCGAAGTCGGCCGACATTATTACTCTTAACCTGCTTGAAATTTATGGAAAAAGTAATCTCGGCCGACTTCGAAGACGTCGGCCGCCCAAAGTATTGTTCATGATACTTGGAGCGGCTGACGTCTTCGAAGTCGGCCGACATTATTACTCTTATTAAGTATCGCGAACTAAGAAGAAATAATCTCGGCCGACTTCGAAGACGTCGGCCGCCCAAAGTATTGTTCATGATACTTGGAGCGGCCGACGTCTTCGAAGTCGGCCGACATTATTATTCTTAACCTGCTTGAAATTTATGGAAAAGTAATCTCTGCTGACTTCGAAGACGTCGGCCGCCTAAGTAGCATAGATAATACAATAAGTCTACCCTCTACACCAAGTATTGGTCATCACACTGGGGGGCGAGGTTATTGTTTCCATAAATTTCAAGCAGGATAGACTTATTGTATTTTTCATGCTACTTAGTTCAGCATTTCAGAATTTGCTAATTCAAAGTGTGAAATAATTACCTATGCGTGACGTCACGAACTTACATACAGTAATCTTAGATTCTTCCTTTATACAAAAATTGGTTGATTTTGATAAGGATTGTTGATATTTAGAGTTTTCTTATTTGTTCTAATTATTAATAAAAAAAGTAAATTATTGCATAAATATAAAAACTTTATTTTTAAGTACAAACTCAACATTTGATGAGATTATTAGATGAACACAAAAAAAAACATCATTCTAAGTCAGTCTTAAATCTGATAATCTCAAAATAAATAGTATAACGCACATAACACGTCGTCTTAATAGACATTTTTTTAATAATAATACAGTTTTTATCAAAAAGTTATCTTTTATCACAAGTTATCACAATAATACGCATGCATTTTAATGATCGAAGTCTTTAAAAACGTCGATCACGGATACTCGAGATGACAACTTGATCATGTCGTTAAAATGAACGTGAGGAATCTGGACGTTACCTTCGAGTTGTTCGTCACTTTTTACCAAAACGAAAACCTTTCTTGGGTCGTTTTTAAAACGTTTCAATGCGTCTAAAAGTTTTTTAATCGAGGTTTGGGGCAAATTCGAAATTTGCAAACATAGAAATATTAATTGTGGGTTCTTCTCTAAGAAATTTTCAAACGGTTTGGCACTAATTACTTCTACGCTGCGACATTTAATGTAAAGCCGTTTTAAACGGACTTCTAGACTGTTTGCCAGCGCAGTGAATAAGCGATCTATTGATATGTTACACGGATGTTCATATCTAAGAGAAATAATATTTTTGTCACGTTAATATGATAAGTCATGAATATTTACCTTAAGTCTTGTAATGTTTTTGCATAAGGCAAAGCATTGCATAACATAAAATGCAATTTCGTGTTATGCGTTTTTGATCTGATTCTTAATGAAACTAAACTTTTACATTCTTGTAAAATCTTAAAAATGAAATGATTGTAAATAATATTGTTATTATTTAAATAGATTTTAATACCTTTGTTAAAAATACTCCGGATATTAAATGAGGGATTTCATCGATAGTTAATTTCTCTAATTTTTTAAAATTGGCTATATTTTCAATCGCTGTGTTATTAATATACACCGTATTAACGGTTCTAGCACAACCCCAAAGTTCTAACTCTGTTAAGTGCGGGGTGTTAGTGGCTAATCTTGATAATAAGCACTCGGCTGGTATTCCATTTCCAATTCGAGGGCGTTTTGTGGGTTGCGGAATATTAAATTCAGCATCATCTAATAATAAAAACAATTAAAACAATTTTTCTATAAATGTAAAAGAAACTTACGTAATGCTGCGCACATATTTAACGCAGTTTTTTGCAATTCTCGGCTATTTTCATACAAAAGGATATTGCGTATATGTTCGTGGTAATTATCAGTACAAGTCGGGCTATGATGTATAAAATTCAACTCATCAAACATCATCGTACCTAATTTCGAATGATCGTAAAATAATTCCTAAAAATTAAACTAAATTTATCGTAATTCTTATTTAAAAAAAAAACAAACATACATTAAATTGTTTACGCGAGAAAGGAGAGGAACAGCGCCTCAAACGAAGTAAATGTAACCAATTCACGTCTTCGTATTGTCGATCCCACAGCATTGGCATAGTAACATCAAGCCTTTTATAAACGGCAAATTGGTCTCGAACGTGTGATACAAACATTTTAGTCAAATTGTTAGCTAGAATTGTATCGCGAACGCACGCGAAATTTATCGCCAACGTAGTTATATCCTGTACGTTGCGAGGAAGCGATATCATTTTCCAATCATGAATTGTTGGCAAACCAATTTCAATTATCTAAAATTAAGATTAACTTTGTGTTAATTAAAACTTAACCATGCCTTTATTGCAAATAGATGAGTAATACACAATGCGTTTCTAGATTATCACACTAAGATAATATATAAATAATAACCATAAATTAATAATAACAATTTGGATAAAGAAAATCCAAATTTGTACATTTGGATTTTCGAGTGGCCAGAAACTCTAAATAATCTTGAACAAGATGAAGTGTCAACTTCTCACCCACTCTGGGCACGACAATCCACCAGATGGGTAAGCTTAATTAAGAGATCAGGAACAGAGTAGACAAGGCTTACTATGTCCTGAGTCTAAATAATCTCGGCCGACTTCGAAGACGTCGGCCGCCGTAAGTATTGTTCGTGATACTTGATTAAAAAAAGAGTGAACAAGGCTACCAAGGTTTACTATGCCCTGAGTCAAGAGACCAGGACAAGGGTTTATAAAGCGGTCATTTAACCTATACTTACCTATGGCAGTGAAAGCTGGACCGCAAATACAAAGGACATCAGTAGGGTTAATGCGGTCCAAATGAAATGCCTATGGAGCGCTGCAAAAAAGACACAGCCGTTTTGGAGAAGAGCTCAATATACAGCCGGTCGAGAGGATGATTGAGGATAGATGAGAGCTGTCCTGGTTTGGCCACGTAAAACGAGGTGAGGAAACCACGGATGATCCACAAGCGAGGAAAGACTATGCAGCAGCGCAAGGGTCTTGCTGGGGAGAGGAAAAACTTCAGAAGAATAATTTTGCTTTATTAAGTCGAGGTCGCTTGTGGCTAGTGATGTAAAAAAAGTAACAATTCGTTATACGAGTACTCGTTACTCCGCGAGATCCAAAGTAACTGTTACCGTATCACATCGGTACCAGTTACTTTGGATCTAACAGTTACTTTTTCCAAAGGCCAAGTATTGTTGGATAGGTGAAATCGACTTAAAAGTCGAAATGCGCAACAAAATTTATTTTTACATTGCAATAATAAGCTGTAATATCTTTTATTGTTGTTTTAATATTTTTATTTTATTTTATTATTGCTTGTTTTATAGAAGAAGTTTTGTTTTCCATTGTTAATGTGTTACTACTTTCAAATATTTTTGTTATATAATAAGTGAAACGTAAGTTATTAATAATTAAATAATAATAATTAAGAAAAATTCTTCGTTATAATATGCAGTGAAAAAGTAAATCCCATAACCTACACTCTATTTTTTGATATTAGTGCACAGTGCATAATAGCGTAACAAACACAATATAATATACGTACAGTATTTGTTTTCAAAAATAAGTGTAATATAAAATAAATTCATATAAGTATGTAGTCCAACTAAAACGAGTAATCGAACCTCGAGCGCAAACTAGTACTGGAACCTCAAGCGCAAACGATTACTTGTAACGAGTAACGAGTACAAAGTAACGAATACTTTTTCTGAAAGTAACGGATAGTTACAAATACTAAAAAGTAACTAAACTTTACATCACTACTTGTGGCCGAGGTACTATAATATATGATGCCACATATTGCATTTATGTGATATCATAAGTATCAAATACCAGAATGCAAAAATAACCTCGGCCGCCCCCAGTATCATGACCAATACTTGGTGCGGCCGAGATTATTTCCATAAATTTTAACCAGGGTAGACTTATTATATTGTCCACGCTACTTGAAGCGGCCGACGTCTTCGAAGTCGGCCGAGATTACTTTTTTCATAAATTTCAAGCAGGTTAAGAGTAATAATGTCGGCCGACTTCGATGATGTCAGCCGCTCCAAGTATCATGAACCATACAATAAGTCTATGCTGTGAAATTTATGGAAAAAATAACCTCGGCCGACTTCGAAGACGTCGGCCGCCCCCAGTATCATAAACAATGCAATAAGAGTATCCTGCTTGAAATTTATGGAAAAAATAACCAGCTATTATTCGTGATACTTGGGTTGGGTTGCATATAGGCGAAAATCATGCTCTATCACGAACAATACTAGAAATAATCTCGCTCCCAGTATTACGCTCCCAATACTTAGTGCGGCAGACGTCTTTGAAGTAGGCCGAGATTATTTCCATAAATTTTAACCAGGGTAGACTTATTGTATTCTCCATGCTACTTGGGGCGGCCGACGTCTTCGAAGTCGGCCGAGATTACTTTTCCATAAATTTCAAGCAGGTTAAGAGTAATAATGTCCACTCCAAGTATCATAAACAATACAATAAGAGAATCCCGCTTGAAATTTATGGAAAAAGTAACCTCGGCCGACTTCGAAGACGTCGGCCGCCCCCAATATCATGAACAATACAATAAGAGTACCCTGCTTGAAGTTTATGGAAGAAATATCTTATGGAAACAATACTTAGCAGGGTAGATGTATTATATTCATACAGGTCATGACACTTGTGGCGGCCGACGTCTGCGAAGTTTATGTCTCTTAACATGCTTGAAGTTTATGTATATCTCGGCCGACTTCAAAGACGTCGGCCGCCCCAAGTATCGTGTACAATACTTAGCAGGGTAGATTTATTATATTGTTTATAATACTTGGGGCGGCCGACATCTTCGAAGTCGGCCGAGATTATTTCTTATAAATAGCAAATAATAGAATATTAAGTTTGGAGCATTAACATTTTGTCATCTATGTACAGAATGATATGTTTAAAAGTTCCCTAATTGAAATAAACAAGATAAAATTATCGTACCCATAATTCGGCAAGTGGATTAAATTTTCCTAGGGTATGTAATATTAAATGTAGCAATCCTACGGCAAAACTTTCAATATGAAAGTAAAAATGAGTTAGTTTTGGAAGATGCTGAATAACTTCTTTACAAAACGTTCTTCTGAGAATGGTTACGCCTAAACGTTCCAACTAAAAAATGAAATTTATGTAAAAGGGGGTAAAAAATACATAAGTACTGAAGTATTACGCTAGGTAAAGCTCTGTACACTGTCACATCAGATTTTCTGAGACCTAGTTTAGTATCAATCACATACAATTCTTTCAAATGAAGCAGTTTCATAATATTCTTCCGTAAATCGTATGCAGATATCCAGTAAATCGATGTGAGATTCAACGACGTTATGTGAAGACACGTAGGATTTTTAACTAAAAAATTTTCTAAGTGGACCTTATTAAAATGGTAGCAATTTGTTACGTTTACATGACTAAAAGTAAAATAAATAATTTGTAAATAATTGGACAGAGATAAACATAACCTCACCTTATCACGCAACGAGAAGTTGAGACATATACAAATCTAGGGTGGACTTGTCGTAGATTTAAAACATCCGGAGTGTCGAGATATGAGCATATTATCTCTAAAATTTCAGTAGGCAGTTGAGTTATATCCATCTTTGAGTGTTTAATTTAAAAAATATCAGGCCCAATTCATAGAGAAATCTTACCGCTACAGATGTTCATAAAACACTAGCGACATCTACATCATTTTCAAACTTCAAACTAATATGACTTTTATAGGCATAAACAAAACTTTATTTTTATTTACAAGTATAAATAATCTCAAATTCCTTCACGATTAATATTTTATCATTTCTTGCTAATATAGATTAAATTACAACAAAAAGTATTATTTTGCAAAATTTTTGCGATTTCTTCTTCCGGAACCAACACAGCAAAATGTATTGGCGCGAAAATTCAAATTTATATTATAATTAATTTATCTGGAATCATTTCTCTTTCTCATTTTAGGTATTATGAAAGGGCTACTTCTTTTAAGAAATTACATCAATAAATTATAGAAATACATGGTGTCAAGTTATGATTAATAATATGGTGAACTTGTTTTATGATAAAATTGCTGAAAATTGGAAAAGCTTCAAACAAAACTCGTTAATAAGAGTCCTATCATAGAGCTTCTTCATAGTCAACATAGAGCTTCTCCAGTATTCTCTGTTCTGGGCTATTGCAATCCAATTCCAGAATTTTCTTCTCATTGTTAACCTAGCCACATGCAAGGTCCATCTCTATTTCAAGTACAAGTATGTTCCAAATATTGTTCGTGATGTAAGAAATAATCTCGGCCGACTTCGAAGACGTCGGCCGCCCTAAGTATTGTTCATCATGCTTGGGGTGGCCGACGTCTTCGAAGTCGGCCGAGGTTGTTTTTCTTAACCTACTTGAAATTTATGGATGAAATAATCCCAAATATCATGAACAATACAATAAGTCTACCCTGTTTGAAATTTATGGAAGATATAATTTCGGCCGACTTCGAAGACGTCGGCCGCCCTAAGTATTGTTCATGATACTTGGGGCGGCCAACGTCTTCGAAGTCGGCCGAGATTATTTCTTCCAAAAATTTCACGCAGATTAAGAAAAACAACCTCGGCCGACTTCGAAGATGTCGGCCGCCCCAAATATCATGAACAATACAATAAGTCTACCCTGTTTGAAATTTATGGAAGATATAGTTTCGGCCGACGTCTTCGAAGTCGGCCGAGATTATTTCTTCCAAAAATTTCACGCAGATTAAGAAAAACAACCTCGGCCGACTTCGAAGACGTCGGCCGCCCCAAATATCATGAATAATACAATACGTCTACTCTGTTTGAAATTTATGGAAGATATAATCTCGGCCGACTTCGAAGACGTCGGCCGCCCTAAGTATTGTTCAGATTAAGAAAAACAACCTCGGCCGACTTCGAAGACGTCTTCCGCCCCAAATATCATGAACAATATTTAGGGCGGCCGACGTCTTCGAAGTCGGCCGAGATTATATCTTCCATAAATTTCAAACAGGGTAGACTTATTGTATTGTTCATGATATTTGGGGCGNCTGTTTGAAATTTATGGAAGATATAATCTCGGCCGACTTCGAAGACGTCGGCCGCCCTAAATATTGTTCATGATATTTGGGGCGGAAGACGTCTTCGAAGTCGGCCGAGGTTGTTTTTCTTAATCTGCGTGAAATTTTTGGAAGAAATAATCTCGGCCGACTTCGAAGACGTCGGCCGTCCCAAGTATTCTTCGTGATATAAGAAATGGTCTCGGCCAAATTTTCATATTTTTCTTTTTATTTGCGCATCTGAGAGTAAAAGTAAAATTCTTCTCTTCAGAACGGACTAACCAGAAGAAACACCATTAGAAACAAAAAGCAGCAGTCTAAAACTTTGTGAAAATCTTAAAGGTTATCACACACATACAAAAAATAACACTCTATATCACTAAACAATTTTATTAACTTATCCTATTACTCTTTAATACAACAAAAAAAATGCTAATAAATTAAATCTTTTTTGGTTTGCTTTTCTTTTTCGTAGCATTTATGCTTTGTACGATCTGATCAATATCATTATTATCATTATTGTACTCTTTGTCTTGATTTCGCGTTTTAAAATTAACGATACCGTCAATGTTAAGTTTCGAGACGACTTCTTTGACGGAGATTAGAACCTTATCGATGTTATAAATCGCAACCATAACTAGGAAAATAAAGAGTAAAGTCCAAACGGATGTTTGCTTGATGTTGTGATCCGTAACGTTTGCTTTAATTGCAAAGTTTAATTCGACGTATTTAAACGATGTATTCGCCGTGAAATATTCAATAGGTAATTTAAATTTGGTGTAGTGTGGTAAAGTTGTTTCTAATTGAACTGAATATTGTTTATTGTCCAAAGGGACTGATGGTAATTGAATTAAAACTCCGTTGTTGTAATCTTCGGTTATTTTATAGCCGGTTGTATCAATTTTCGTTTGCGATACAAGTCCAGCTGGTGAGCTTTCCCGGCTTATTTTGACTCTTAATGACCGATAATGTTCCGGATTTGCGGTAAATACCCTTCCAAGAATATCAATCGATTGGGGTTGCCGAAAAACAACCAATTTTACATCCTCTATATCTTTATTAATCGCATCTAATTCAATTACGCTCGGAGCTGCGCGCTCAAAATGATCACCTTTCACTTGGAGATTATAGGAACAATACGGCAATAATCCCCGAATTCTAAATTGACCGTTTGACTCGGAGGATGACTCTTCGGAATATTGAGAACAATTTTTTAACCCCGATGCTATAACCGTTATTTTTTCTTCCGGTTCATTATTTAATGATGTTACTCGACCATAAACGCTGTAAGCTACACGACGCCCTCTATACAAAAAATAAAATAAATAATATAAAAAAATTAAAAGAGAAGATCTTACTTTAATGTTACATGAACCGTCGCTCCTTCTTTAACATCGATAATTTTTGACGAGGGGTCAAAACTGTATTCTTTCATCATCGGACGTAAAAAGTACTCACTCGGACTTAACGATTGAAACACAATCCTCCCATCTTCATTAGTTTGAAGATTACTTCTATAACTTTGATCTCCTGATAACGATAATAACGCGCCCTTAAACGATTCAATAAAATAAAATAATCAATTTTAATGAAACTAAACATTACTTGTAACGGTAAATTATTATTTTGGTCGATAACTTCAACGATAATCTCGGCCAATTTATGAGCCATAAAATTTCCTTGATCATCAGGGCCGACTAAAACATAAGAATCTTTTGCCGCAGTCACTTGGTATTGTTTTGAATCGTCTAATGGGTGGAATTGATAAAAACCATCAGAATCAGTTTCGTTCATTAACGTTTCGGAATTATCGGAAGAAACGGTGATTTGGACGCCAGCTAAAGGGGGAGTAACGCGCCCTTTGAAAACGCGACCCTTAACCGCTTCGAAAACGTCCTTCATATCTTTACAATCGTCGCTTCCTTCGATTAATAAAATTGGTGGGTTGAAATATAAAACATCCGATTCTGGGATTAAAATCGCCGATTCTTGAGGGCTAAGATATAATTCTAACGTGTATTGGTTGTTTTTGTAAGTTAATGGATCGGAAATTGATTTTTGCCCATCAACATTAATTTTGACCGTTATATTGCCGAAATCTTTATTACATTTAATTCCAATATTGTGATGATGTTTCAAAGCAACGATCACAATTTCATTATTTTCACTTTCAGTGTCATATTCAATTTGATTCGTTGCGTAAGTGTGACAACTCGACAAAACAAAATTGTATTTCCCGTAACTTTCAACGCACTTCAACGTACGACCTTGTTGGATTTCCAACACGCTAGTTTCGCGATTCGGAAGTTTGTACGAAATCTTCGCGTCATGCGTCGACGAAAATATAATCGTGTATCCAACTTGTATAAACGTTGGAACTGTTAAAACCGTGCTTGTAATTGAAATGATGTGTTTATCTTGTTTCCAACACAAACGATTCGGCGTTAAAAGCACTTCGTACATTCCCGGTCGAATATCTGTGAAAATGTATGTATCGCCTTTTATGTCCATACTAATATCTTTCTCATCTTGGGCTACGTCATTTATAATTGGGCGTAAAATAATTTTTAAAGACGAACAATCTTTTTGACGACGACAATCGACTTTTCCGGATACCGTTGCTTTTAATTGAGAAAATGTGATATCTAATAAGGGTTTTTTTGATATTTCTACTGTATGAGACACTGGGAAGAACCTAAAAAATATTTATTATGAAAAATTATATAGGATTGTATCATCAAATTATTTTCTTACTGAATTCCTTGTTGTTTATCATTCTCATTAACTAAAACTTGAATTTGATATTTCCCCGGTTTAAGATATTCACAAAATTTGCCGGTTTCAGGTTCTGTATGGATGGTAAAATGTTGTGTTGACCCAATACGAGTTATACTAACACTTTGTGACTGTTCGCTGATGACGTGGCCACAAAATAAATATGATGCGGGATAAATTTCAGGTAATTGCGATATGCTAGGGTTAATTTTAACAGTTTTTTGATCGAATTGATAGTTATCCGCGCGTACGGATAAAGTGTAAACTCCGGCCTTAATTTTTTCTAATGCGTAAATTCCATTTTGGTCTGTTTTTGCGACTTCTTCGGCGTTTAGGTAGATTGTACCATCGATTAAAGGTCGGCCACCTTCTGAGGTTAATACTCTTCCAAAAATACTAAAACCTATTATCTAAACGTATAAAATTTGTTTAATTTCATTGTTGTATTTAAATTTTATGGTTTTTTTACCTCGAACGATTGTGGTAGTTGGTAACTGTTATGTTCGACTGTAAATTCAATAGATTGTGGTGAGAAATGTATATTTTGGCCGCGATAAAATGGAACAATGCGATATTTTCCTATAGGAACTGTTGAAAATGAAAAGAATCCTTTTTCATCTGATTCTACGTAACATAAATAATTATCTTCGATTTTTATATTATCAGGTGGTGTTTGGACGCAGTCTTCTATTTTTAAATTCATGTTTTTCTCCGAATACAAAATTAAAGTAGCCCCTTTAATATTTTCCCCATAACTTTTTACGTAACCACTAACATCATAACCAGCTATAATTAACGATTTTGCTGGTAATTCCGTGTTTCCCTCTGCTACAGTTACAACAACCGTATCTCTTATAATTTTCCATCTAAAAAAATGAAGACGTGAAGTTTAATTAAGTCATTTCGATTTATTTTACGTACTTCGGGTGTGAAATCACCACAGTATGTAAACCAGGATAAACAGGTGTAAAGAAAAATAATCCATTTTCAGATGTAACAGTTATACGTACTTCTGAATCTGTTTTAAGTTTTACTTCAATGCCTAAAGGACCGTTAGAACTACCCAAACTCTCTACCTATTTCAAAAATAATTTTAAATTAATTAATTAATATTATTAATTATCAGATAATGAGTAATAAGGTGTTACATTTTTGCTTTAACCCTCGAAAAACTTATGGCGAAAAGATAATCTATTATCAAGGCTAATGTATACCGTGATTATGGCACGTGGCAGATTCAAAGAAGATAGAAAAAAAGTGGATAAATTAGCACCTATACGGGAAGTATCGGATATGTTTGCAGAAAATTGTAGGGGGTTTTACGAGGCATCAAATACTGGTACAGTAGATGTACAACTAATATCTAACAGAATGTACAGAATGGCTACTGCTATTTTTCTACCTCAAATTAATGGAAAATCATGAAACTTTAAGGCAATTTTTCTCGAAAATTTTCTTATGTATTAATTTTTGCTGTACCAAATCCAGAAAAAATCCTCTTTCACATTCCGTAATAAAAATGGGGTATTGCTATTTGAAAGAAATAGCGATGACGTCATAACTAGTTTAAAAATGGCGGAAAAAATTTATAATCTAGACCAAGACCTCTCCAGTTTACATGTTGCGCCCAAAATATTGTTCATGACACTTGGGGCGGCCGACGTCTTCGAAGTCGGCCGAGATTATTTCTAATATTATTACTAATAGAGCATGATCTTCGCCTATATGCAACCCAACCCAACCCAAGTATCAAGAATAATACCCAAATATATCTGTTCTGTGATAATACTTGGGGCGGCCGACGTCTTCGAAGTCGGCCGAGATTATTTCTAATATTATTACTAATAGAGCATGATCTTCGCCTATATGCAACCCAACCCAACCCAAGTATCAAGAATAATACCCAAATATATCTGTTCTGTGATAATACTTGGGGCGGCCGACGTCTTCGAAGTCGGCTGAGATTATTTCTGTTGATATAAGAAATAATCTCGGCCGACTTCGAAGACGTCGGCCGCCCCAGGTATTATTCGTGATACTTGGGTTGGGTAGCATATTGGCGAAGATCATGCTCTATCACGAAGAATACTAGAAATAATCTCGGCCGACTTCGAAGACGTCGGCCGCCCCAAATAGCATGATCAATACGGCCGCCCTAAGTATTATTCATGACACATGGGCCGAGATTATTGTTGCTCTATCACGAACAATACTAAAAATAATCTCGGCCGACTTCGAAGACGTCGGCCGCCCCAGGTATTATTCGTGATACTTGGGTTGGGTTGCATATAGGCGAAGATCATGCTCTATCACAAAGAATACTAGAAATAATCTCGGCCGACTTCGAAGACGTCGGCCGCCCCAAGTGTCATTAGGGCGCCTGTATTGTTCATGATACTTGGGGTGAGACTATTTTTTATATCATGAACAATACTTGTTCAATACCAAGACCTCTCCAGTTTACATTTTTATCTACATTACAACAATTAAGATTTTGATTACTATTCACCACTCCTCTTATTATTATAATTTTTGAAAACATCGCCCAAGATCTTTGGAGATAACCATGACTTGGTCTTACAGATCAAAGTATTATGGTTATATATATTTGGGGGCGGCGGACGTCTTCAAAGTCAGCCATGGTCAGCAGAGAACATGGTTTGTAACCAAAATTATATGGGCACAAATGAAAATGAAATGGCAGATTAGTTAATATAAACATTTTCTTTCAGTTTAGAATTCTGATAGTGTAATTCCAAACATTTTCTTAATGTTTACAGTTTGGCCTCAATATCATATATACCAGGACTTTGGCAGATATTGGACATATTGGATATTATCATAATTATACACTCATTTCAAATACATATTTATTACCTTTCCTGTAATACCAAATCCCTTAAATTTAAAATTAATATCATGCCCCTGACTACAAATATCATTCTTTCCATCTATGTTAACATTAATTCTTATTGGATCGAAACTCCAACCTGGTGGGGGTTCAAGCTAAAAAAAGATATTTAAAGTAGCTTAAATAAAAAAAAGTAACCTCAAACATTACCTGTAAGATATATTCGCCCTTATCATATAAAGGAATAAAATAATACCCATTATTTGGAGCGCAATTAGTCTGATCTTTAACTATACCCTGTTTCGTCAACCTGCAAATTAATAAATTTAAAAAAAAAAAATGCTAAGTAACGATATTAATGGAAACTTACAATTTAACGACGACTTTGGAAAAATCAATGGGGACGTGGCTTTTGATGAAGCCCCCGCAGCCCAAAACATCGTTCGCAGTAACGCATATAATATAGCTTAATAATAACGAACATAAAATGACTAGCTTTTCATTAAACATTATAAAAAATTCGGCGATGTAGCATTTGTTAACCTCACAATTGCACAATTAACCTCTTTTTTTGTACGTTGCCCATAAATGTCAAAATGGAATTTCGTTCAATCACACATAGATGACGCTTAAGCCTGTTTAAGTAAGGTAGAAACTACAAATGAAACCAAAACATGCGTATAGATGTCGTCTTTTACTATTAGGTATCTACTTTATCGATAAATGTCAAGACGTGGCCAGTGCGTGGCTGTCATCGCATGCATACGTAACCTCTCACTTCGAGTAAACTTTCCAACTTTGACTTTCGTAGTCGTATGGAAGCAGTCATCATTTGCGCTTCGCAAAAAAATTAAAGAAAGGTAAAATTATAACAGAAACTAGCCATAAAAGAACCAAATCTAATTCAAAATCTTATTCTTTTTGTATCTAGATGTTTCAGAAAGTATTGTATTTCCTCCTCCTCGCCGTTTTAACGGTAAACTGCAACACGGACGAGGAATCCAGTCCCAGACTGTTGGTGTTTAAGCAAATTTTGAATAAATATCTCGTTGAAAATATGGACATCGTTGTTAAATATACTTTATTTAATGTTGGGAGCGCCGCTGCTATTGATGTTAGGTTAGTTGAAACCGGATTTCATCCTGAAGCTTTTCAATTAGTTGGAGGGCAATATGAAGCTGCTATCGACAGGATTGCTCCACAGACCAATGTGACACATGTTGTTGTAGTTAGACCCATTCAATATGGATATTTTAACTTTACTAGTGCTAAAGTTAACTATAAAATGTCTGATGAAGCTAAAACAGTGAGTTTTATTATAAAATTATTTAAATCATTAAAAATTAATGTTTTTTTTTTATTTTTTAGTATCAAGTATCCTTTAGCAGTGAGCCTGGAGAAGGTGCCATAAGTGCTTTCCGTGACTACGATAGGAAATTCTCTTCACACGTATTTGATTGGCTGGCTTTTGCTGTAATGACTATGCCATCTTTAGCAATTCCCTTCTTCCTTTGGTACAGCAGCAAAAGCAAATATGAAAAATTAGCAAAACCTGTCAAAAAACATTAGATTTATTTTGTTAATTGTAGTTATTAATTTTTTTATTTATCGTACAAAACATTCTTCAACATTCATCTTCAACACAGAATGTCATTAACTTTGTTATTACAAATGAAATAAAAACAACATTTCTTTTTCTAATTTTGACGTTTTATTTAAATCAAAATAAATAAATATAAAAGTAATAAAACAGAAAAATCGAACTGGTAACAATTTATTGTAAACGTGTGGCAACACTGTAATAGATCCCAATCTCACACGAAATATTGTTCGTGATATAAGAAACAATCTCGGTCTCTGGATACGAAATCCTACCCTAAAGCATGTTCTTCGCCTTACTAGAAGATGTCGGCCGCCCCAAGTGTCATGAATAATACTTAGGGCGACCGTATTGATCATGGTATTTGGGGGGGAGATATAATCACGGCCGACTTCGAAGACGTCGGCCGTGATTATATCTCTTAATCTACTTGAAATGTATGGAAAAAATAATCTATATGCAACCCAACCCAAATATCACGAACAATACCTGGGGCGGCCGACGTCTTCGAAGTCGGCCGAGATTATCTCTTATATTAACAAAAATAATCTCGGCCGACTTCGAAGACGTCGGCCGCCCCAGGTATTGTTCGTGATACTTGGGTTGGGTTGCATATAGGAGATCATTTTTTCCATACATTTCAAGCAGATTAAGAGATATAATCTCGGCCGACTTCGAAGACGTCGGCCGCCCCAAGTATTCTTCGTGATACTTGGGTTGGGTTGCATATAGGAGATCATTTTTTCCATACATTTCAAGCAGATTAAGAGATATAATCTCGGCCGACTTCGAAGACGTCGGCCGCCCCAAGTAGCATGACCAATACGGCCGCCCTAAGTATTATTCATGACACTTGGGGCGGCCGACGTCTTCGAAGTCGGCCGAGATTATTTCTAGTATTGTTCATGATAGAGCATCATCTTCGCCTATATGCAATCCAACCCAACCTAAGTATCACGAATAATACCTGGGGCGACCGACGTCTTCGAGGTCGGCCGAGATTATTTTTAGTATTGTTCGTGATAGAGCAACAATAATCTCGGCCCATGTGTCATGAATAATACTTAGGGCGGCCGTATTGATCATGCTATTTGGGGCGGCCGACGTCTTCGAAGTCGGCCGAGATTATTTCTAGTATTCTTTGTGATAGNTATCCAGTTATCAACCTCACCCAACCTAGGTATCACAAACAATACTTATGGCGGCAAATTTCAAAGACGTCGGCTATCCGGAGTACCAAAAACTATACTTATGGTTGATGGTTGGATATAAGAAGCAATCTCGGCCGACTTCGAAGACGTCGGCTGCTCCAAGCATCTCCAGTAGTCTTCGAAGTCAGCCAACATTATTTCTTATATCCAGCCATAAGTATTGTTTGTTGTACTTGGGTTGAGTTGGATTTGTAGTTGGATATAAGAAATAATCTCAAGTATCACAAGATTATTTTTTGTATCCAGCTATCAACCCAACCCAAGTATCTATACAAATAGTCTTGGAAGTCAGCCGAGATTATTTGTTATATCCAGTTATCAACCTCAACCTACCTAAGTATAACAAACAATACTTATGGCTGCCGATTTCGAAGATTTCGGCTGCCCGAAGTACCAAAAACTATACTTATGGCTGATTGGATATAAGAAATAATCTTATCTATAATCTTATAATCTCAAGTATCTCCAACTATCTCCAGTAATCAGTCATAAGTATTGTTTGTGATGCTTGGGTTGGGTTGGATTTGTAGCTGGTTATAAGAAATAATCTCGGCTGACTTCGAAGACTACTTGGAGTATAAGTATTGTTCATGGGTTGGGTTGGGTTGACAGCTGGATATAAGAAATGATCTCGTGCTACTTGAGGCGGCCAATCATCAGTCATCAGCCAAAAATATTGTTTGTAGTACTTGGGTTGGGTTAATTTATAGCTGGTTATAAGAAATAATCTCGGCCGACTTCGAAGACGTCTCAAGTATCACAAGATTATTACTTATATCCAGCTGTCAACCCAACCCAAGTGTCATGAACAATACTTGGGGCGGCCGACGTCTTCGAAGTCGGCCGAGATTATATCTCTTAATCTGCTTGAAATTAATGGAAAAAAATAATCTCGGCCTAAGTATTGTTGGTGATACTTGGGGCGGCCAAGATTATTTTTTATATCACGAACAATACTTGTAGCGGCCGATGTCTACGATGCAAATAAAGAAATTAATTAATTTTCGGAATATACTACAAAAAAGACTTTTAGAAGAAAAGTTGTAGAGAATTTAAAAATACTAACTAAAAGTTCATTAATCGATTGAAATATGAACTGGTAACAATTTATTATAAACGTGTGGCAACACTGCAACAGGCCGCAACCGATTTAAACATGGCCGCATGTTAGACAAAATTTTTCTTTCTTGTTTGCCAACGTATTTAAAACGATTTAGTAGTGGTGTTTGTTAGTTTATTGGATGTTCTATTTATTTCTGTAGTGCCCCGTATTGTAAATTAATAGTAAAAAATTGGTAAGTGTACCGCGAGGGGGCGCAAAATAACCGATAATTCGTCGAACCGGCAACATTCCTAATACTGACAGTGTTCTCTTTAAATATAAACACCTTAACCGACACGAAAAAACCAACGTTTATATAAAGGTTTATGTTTTAATTCAATATGAATGTCATCTATTTTTGTCAATAACGGTGTTTTGTAAAAAATGAATTGTAGAAATTCATTTAGAACGAAAAAGTGCGTGTCAATAAATCTAAGTTGTCTTTAAATGATAACGTAATTTCGCGGTATGCTTACTTACGAGGTTTTTGTTCTTTAGTAGAAAATGATGAGGCATCCAGAACATCATCAACTACCGCCTACAATGCAAAGAAATAATAGGTACACAACTGTTTCTGTTTATTTTAGTGGACAAGCATTACATTACATGTTTATCAATTTTAGAATGAACGTCCAACAAATGACGCAGCCTGCACAGAGAATGCTGATGACTGTACCTGGATCTCCTCATTCCAGTATGCAAATACTCCAAATATATTTTGAATTATTAATATTTTTAACTTCGTAGGTGTGCTCGTGTCCATGCCTGGACCTGGACCAACGTTAATTACAACTACCATTGCTCCGATACCACAACATCCCCAACAACCATCCAAAACAAATTCCGTTCCAGGTAATCTTCATTTAATTTCTATTATTTATTTATGATGGTAAGCAATTTAATATGACTTTATATTTAGATAAACTAATATTAAGATGCAAATAATTCCAAACATTATTTACTGATGCTTTACACTATACAAATATATATTCACAATCTCTAGAACTTATTTGTTATTTGAGCTTTTTCATTTAGCTTTTTCCTGAGCGAATCTCAGGAAAAAGGAAACTTAGGGCGGCCGACGTCTTTGAAGTCGGCCGAGATTATTTCTTCCATAAATTTCAAGCAAGTTAAGAGAAATAATCTCGGCCGACTTCGAAAACGTCGGCCGCCCCCACATATTCCATGCTGTTAATAGTAACGCTTCAGATATGGATCATATTACAAATAATGTGATATATCAATAATGAAGATATTTGCTGTAAACGTCAAAAGTAGCGTCAAGTAAAGTTGTAGATCTTTTAACTAATTGACTGATATACGGTATCATTATATGGGTAACTTTTAAATAATATCCTATATATCTTGGTTTTCTGCAATTGAAACTAATTGGGTGACCATCAATCTACCATATATTTTTAGTAGTTAAGATAGGATTCAGAAGAAAAGCGTTTTTACCTTGACTAACTTATTCATTCACGCTATAATTGGACTTTCAAAAGAACCTAACATTCTTTCTTGGGATAATTGACATTTGTAAACAAATCTAACCTTAGCCAAAACATTTTCTGGACAATGTTAAAAAGAAAAAACCGAGGAGCCGAAAATTTTCAAATTTACATGTTACGTAGTTCTAAATTAACTCGCATTTCTTCGAAGTAATTTTTGATAGGTTCCTTGGAAACATAAATGGAATACTTTTTCTGTTTTATCGGTAATTCGTGTTTAGATTGTTAAGAAAGCGTTGTTGTTTTAGTATATTACGATCAACGTACGACTCATTCTCATAACATGAGTTCCGATGATCAACAACAATCGCAGCAGCAGCAATCGCCGCAACAATCTCAACAGACGCAACACACTCAGCATGCACACCAGACGCAGCACCGCCAATCGGAGAACCCCGTAGACCCACAGCAGCAACAGAACCCGCCATCAAACACTACTACTTCTTCAGCGTTGCCCATTTTGGCAAACATAAAAGAGAAAACCCCCATGTGCTTAGTGAACGAGCTCGCTCGGTACAACAAGATCCAGCATCAGTATCGGCTGACGGGCGAGCAGGGGCCCGCACACAAGAAGATATTCACGGTAACGCTGAAACTCGACAACGAGGAGTACGAAGCGGAAGGACCCAGTATCAAGAAAGCACAACATTCGGCCGCCGCCCAAGCTCTCGCCAAAACGCAGCTGAAGCATCCGCCACCCAAAACGGCTCGGAACAACCGTCAGGGCGTACGAGTGACCTCTACTGGAATGGTAACGCCAACCGTCGAATTAAATGCTCTCGCGATGAAACGGGGCGAACGGACCGTTTACGTTGTTGAAAATGGTCCGGGACATCATCAACAGACTTATGTACCTCAACCAACGGGATACTATCCGAGACACGGATTATACAGTCCGCAAGGACAACCCAGGTACAATTGCGATATGAGGCGTAACCATCCCATGAGAGGACATTATAATTCCTACGACAACAGGTATTACAATCAAATACGGCCACCGTTTCAACAACACGGGAACGCCGAAATTTGTTCTGTTCTTTTACGAATCGCTGATAGGGAATATTCCGGGACCGGTTTGACAGTACAAGCTGCGCGGCACGACGCTGCGTCGAAAGCGATCGAAGATATCAAAAGATTAAACGCGGAAGAGGGTCGAGATAGTGAAGGTGAAGGTAGCACTATTGAGCAAACGATTGAAAACGGCGAAACAGACGTAAACGCGGATTTAAAGTCACCGATATCGCTAGTTCACGAAATTGCGTTAAAACGGCATCTCAGCGTCGCTTTTGAGGTGCTGAGCGAAAAGGGCCCGCCACACATGAAGGTCTTTATAACGCAATGTAAAATCGGTGACATCGTCGTTGAAGGTGAAGGTAACGGAAAGAAAAAATCGAAAAAGCGCGCCGCGGAAAAAATGCTTGAAAAATTAGCCAAATTTCCACCTTTACCTTCAACATCCACTTCGAATAGTTTAAAAAAGAAACGGGTGACAAATAAGAAAAAGACCCGAAATTTGATAAAACTTAATTCGGATAAATCATCCGAATACGCCGAAGAAATTAATCCGATTTCCCGTCTAATTCAAATACAACAAGCGAACAAAGAAAAAGAACCCGTTTACACGGTTATCGAAGAACGTGGCGCTCCTCGTCGTCGAGAATTTGTCATTCAAGCTTCCGTGAATGGCATTTCTTGTAATGGAATTGGACCCAATAAAAAAATCGCCAAGCGAAGTGCTGCTCAAGCTCTACTCAATGCACTCGGCTATTCAAACGCTCCAATGTCACCACCAAAACCAAACGTAATCAACGGAAACGCAAAAGTAAGTCAATTAATTTCTTAATAAAAATAATTTAATAAATTTTTTTAAGGTCGATAAAGAAGTGTCCACACCAGAAACGGCAGAAAAACCTCGCAAAGTAACGTTTATGGAAGAAAAACCAGCAGAGGTGTCATCGGGCGTTGTTGGAGGTAGCGGAGGTCGTCAGTTGGTACCTGGATTATTGCTTGTGGGCGATCAATCAATAACGATGCAAAATAAATCGAAAGATTGCTCGCAATCAACCGTTAATGGAGCCACGACCGAGAAAAAAGCACCGAAACTTCCTCCAACACCTCCTCAAGGTGTTCGATCGAAGGATAAACTTCTCTATTTAGCCCAGCTGATGGATATTCATGTACAATTTTCCGATTTTCCAAAAGCAAATCATGAACAGTATTTAACACTTGTTTCTCTTAACACAAATCCACCTCAGGTACAACTAAAATTGTGTCTTAACTTAATTAATAACTTTTTTATTAATTATATATTGTAGGTTTGTCACGGTGAAGGTCCAACAACGGAAGCATCGCACGAAAAAGCGTCATTGGAGGCATTGAATGTGCTGTCTGAACTGGGCCTGGACAACATAGCGCCGTGTAAAGAACCGGTAGCCGATACGTAAATGGTCTACCTCGAGTAATAAAAAAAGAGTTCGGAAAAAAATTAAAAACAAAAATTAAAAAAAAAAAAAGAACAATGATCAGTTTCGTTTTTTATATATATAATCTAGTGGGTTGTATTGAATCCATTGGATGTATTTATAAAAAAAAAAAATTTATTTATTGCTTGAGCACTATTCCCGTACGCTTTTAATGGGCAGAAAACGTAATGTGGAATGATGTTGACGAATTGATTTTGATGTACTATACCGACTCGTCATGAACACTAAGGAATAAGAAAAAAAAATCTAATCTATTATATTTATCTTGAATATAAAGCTTATATTGATATCTTAGAGGAAGTTTAATTCGTCGTTGCGTTATTTTTCGATGTAAGAACGAAAGAGAGTCCGGGTATAAAAAGAATATATAGTCGCAGTTTTCTGAGATACCAATAGTGAATCTTTTTGTTTGGGATAATAGAGAGGGCGCAACGGGAATCCAATTAAATTATGAATCAACTAATACAAACAACGTGTGCATGATGAGTTCCCGAATAACGTTGAGTTTTACCCGGCCAAAAAAAAAAATTGAAAAGAAAAATTCTTTTAAAAAGTAATTTTACGAATCGAAGACGTGAAATTATAATTGTAATGTTATTTATTACTTGTAACTGTATAAACTATGTGGATGAATTGTTAATAAGCTGTATTCATACGTATCATGTTTCAGTATTTTTCGAATATCGACGTATGCTAGTCGATAATCCATCACTAAATAGTTACGCTTGTCATTTTCAATTATCCCGTTCTTCCCCTTTTTTAATGTTATTCGACCGTATTTGTATTTTTATTTTTTGTTTTCATTTTCGTAATCAATTAAAAAAAAAAACAATCAAGTTTTATTTAAGAAAAATTAAGTTTTGTTTTTTAAAAAATATTACCAAGTGTGTTCTTTGTTTCTATTTGTTTTAATTTGTTTTGTTACTGCGTAGCGGTGCGAGCGTGAACACGTACGAACGAGTTTTAGGTAGAAAACACATTTTTCTTCCAATTTTAGTGTATAAATATTTATGCAAACATTGGAGGGAGCAGTTATCACATTTCTGTGTAGACGTACATGTACATTTCTTTGCAGTATGCATGTACCACAGTGAATTTGAATTCAATAAATTATATCACCTGTATATTGTTTTCCTTTTTTTTTTTTTCAACCTTTTTGAATTTAGGAGATAATCGATGTTGGAAGAATCTCTCTGTCTCTCTCCAATGATACAACGCTACAATGGCGACGACTTCGTCTTTGAAGACGTTGACCGCTATCACAAAGCCTTTCAAACGTTTAGGGCAAATCAATATCAGTCGCACAATATGTTCTTCATTATCTCAAGCGAGTTTTGTCTGACTTTATTATATAGATTTCTAACCATGACTCGCTGTTGTTCTCTCCATATTTTGGAAAATAATGAATACAGCTCTGGAGATCTTGTTTTTTGTTTGTGATAGAATTCTTAGATCTCGACTCTCTTCTTCCTAGTCTTGTGTGGTAAATAAGGTTTGAAAAAATACGAATAAAATAAAACAAAAATAAAAGAATTAATTTCATCGCAGGATAAAATTGAATAAAATTAATATGTTTAACCATTTTTATGTAATTTTTATTTAAAAAAACTTCATTTGAGACATACAATTTTTATATAAAAAAATTAGCTTATATAATATTGCGAATATTATCAACATTGAGTTGCTCTAAAGTATATGATGGAATGGTGACGCAGTTGACATTGGTTGTTAGAGTATCTGCTATTCCGGAAATTAATGTTTTTACATAGGCTTCCCTTTGGGCTGTTTGCATTACATAAACCATCTACAACTTAAAATAAATTTTTTTTTTAATAAATTTTCACAACTTGAAACAAAGTAAATGAGACAAAACAATTCTTAGAATGGTTCGAGTAATATGATATATCTTGTTAAATATATAATCTTTAAAAAAAAATTAATAAAATTTAAACCGTATCAACCAATAAAAAAATAATTCGTATTCGAATCGAAAAGAAAAATTAATAAAATAACAATTATTTTTAAAGAAAATAAAAATGTACATCGTCTTTCCTAATATTTACGTAAAAACTTAATTTACGTAATAAGAGATACGCTAAGAGTATGTATGGAAAGAAAAAATGTAGCTTAAACGTAACAGAGAGCTATTACTAGTAGCTAAAAAAATCTAGTCTAATTCGAAATATAAGAACTTATTGGCTAATGCATACTCAAAAATATACAGATATAATTCTTAAATCAGTACCGTAAAAAAATGCTATTAAGAGAAAAAAATAAAAATAAATGAGGACTACTAAAATGGAGAAACGAAACTAAGTCGTGTACCTTCTAATTGTAAATTATTTTTGTTTCACATATTTATGTTTTCGATTTAATTTGAACGGCGTAAAGCATGTCAGGTACGGTTTGAAAAAGTAAATCTTCGCTTTTTTTTGTTATTCGGAGGCGATCGTGTGCTAAGTCAGAGACGACAGATGACAAGTGTCTGAGGGCTACATTAACAAAAAAAAAATAAAAATACACCGAATAGTCTATATGGCATCGCTCGCGGACGCTATGGCTTGTGTTTTATGTACACAATAACGCGTAAAAAATATAAAATAAAATATCATTCTGAAGCTATATACAGTACGAGTATAAAGGGATTCCGCACGTGGAAGTGTTACGAAAACTGTGCACCCATGAGATCATACACATGTCACCACCAACCACTTTTCTTCGCCGCGACGCGTGCGGAACGTCGCGACATAAAATAATAATAATAAAACAAGGGGCTAACAATAACTTACACTCGGAAATTATCCATCTCAACAATCTTTCATATAAACAATAATAATAAAAATTCTAATTAACATTTTTCTTTTGTCTTAAACGTTAGAATCCTTTCATAATATAAAAAAAAACAATCACAACAAAGAAGTACTTGAGGACCGGGAAAAAACTTAAACTTTAAAGTTGAGCACGTCAGTGGTCGGATAATTCTACGAATGTTATGTCAAAGAGATCTTCATCTACCGTCTTTAGCTCGAGCAAGAACAGGTCTTCATTACAATAATAGGCCACCATGTCATCGTCCATCTTGGCCAAAATGCTGCAATACAATATTAAATTAATTTAATACTCAACAGCTATAGTTTTGATTCATTAATTAAGAGAAATCTTTACATTTCGTTTATCATAAGATTGAAACATGCAAGGTGATCTCTTAATTAATAATATTTAGTTCAAAAAGTGACTTTCTACCTTGCTTGAAACCTTCTTTAGATTAGTAAAGCGTTAAAATATAAGGGGAATAATAACGTTCACCGCTGACACGGGGTACGCATGGGGTTAGACTACCACTACTAACTCCAAGGATGGCTATTAGAACTTACCCCTTTTTGTTTTTTCGAAACAAGTTATTTATACTCGAAGCAGAAATTTTGTACTTATTCTCAATCTGCAAAATAAGGAAAAAACAGAATTAAATCTTTCGCTCGCCGGCTTCTGTCTTTCTATATTTAGCGTAGATTTAGAAGAAGTACTGAGCTTTTTTTTTATTGAGCGCGGACAATAGTGGTAGTGATTTAGTCGGTCTTAGTGTTTTTATTTAATTATTAAATTTTAAGTGTTAATCGTCATGCGACGCGCGGTTAATGTTACACCGGCCGCTCTCTCTTTGCGCTCCGGACGGAACATAAAAGCCCAGTACGTCCAGGTCCATGCACTCAAGCGGAAGCCAAGCTAGCTTACGACCATCCCTCCCATCCATTTCCACACACTTTACATATCTTCCAATATATCTTTATAAATTCAAATCGCTCTTAATAATCTATATTTATTAATACTATTATCTAGTCAGTTTCTTTTAATTTATAAAGATATTTTTTAGGAAGATCAAAATTGTGTAGCATCAAAATTTCTTTCTTACCGCATTTAAAAGACCAGCTGTAGTAGGTGGGACAACATGAAGAGGAGTATAAACCTCTTCCGATTCCTGTCGCACATAAAGCATGACCCGTTCGTTTAATGGTGGTGGTCCAGCACTGCCCATTCCCCCCAAATTTGATCCGATCAACTTCGCCCTCTTGAGTGGGGGCGAAAACATCCCTCCGGCATCGACGCCTAAACTACTTTCGAGAATATTGTCCTTTTTGTCGGCGTCCGGCGGAAAATGATTGTGGAACTTGAGCGTGGGTGTGGTAGGAGTTTTGGCGGCGGCGTGAAGCAGAAATGGGGACCCAGCTTTCACGTGTTCCACAGGTCCGTTCAGTGATGTGTCAGTGTCGTGGCCATAGAAACTCTGGAGCTCCATCGATGTCAGCTGCGGAAACACCAAAGACTACACTCGATCAAGTTGTTCTGATGGGGTCATTTTAAAGATGATTTACCAACCTTTTCGATGTCTTCGGCGGGCGAAAATAAAACCGGCGGTTTTATGAGGTCGATCATAGAATAAAATTCGGAACGTTCACACATCGGGTGGTAAAGCTCATCTAACTTCTTTCTTCCGGTTGCCGTCATTTTTCTTTTGGCTGCTCGTCTTTCTTCATCGCGCGTTTTTCTTTCAGCACCCTAAAATAACGCGAATTAATAAATATATTAATAAAACGAAAAAAAAAAAAATAGAAATTACCTTATCACAAAATACTTTTATTTGGCAGTATCCTCTATGGAAAATATTTGTATCTCTTGGATCCTCATAAGTATCTATTTGCAAATGTAAAGGAAGCCCCTTTACACCCTTCTGACTACTGAAATCAGTGCTAAGACATTGAACAGCTATATTTATTTTTGCTGCGCTTTCCATTGGATTCCAATAAACAGCAATAGCATTATGAGCTACTTCTTCGATGCATCCCACTAATCCAACACTATTTTTTGTATCTACACAAAATTAAAAAAAAATAATTTCTGAAATCTATAATTATTTTGTTTGTAAACCACTCACCATCATTATTTAAAAAATGAATAGCATGTAATATGTAGGTTAAAGTAATTTAAATTAAATACGAAATAATTTTTTTGTTGCTTACCGGCGTCTAAGATGCGTTGTTTAACCGAATGTTGACGACCGTGCCAAAATTGCCACGCTTTGATCTCATCTTCAGGACTCTTTTCTTCCCTGAACATGAGCATGACTATACTCTAAAATGATTAATAAAAAAAATAAAAGGAAAACGTTAATCTTGAGTTTTGGCATATCAAAGGGAGTAATCTTCTTCGGTATCTGGGTCATTGAAAAGTATACAGTCGTTATCATGCAGGAAAACCGGTTTAACTGGATTTTTGGTACCACTAGGGGTGAAGAAGAGTACCCCCTATGTCTCCCAAAGAAACAACCCCGTGGGAAGAAAATTTCTTTGATTATTTTTTTGCAATTTACCTTGACTGTTTGTGATTTAAGTTGTTTATTAGGATCATCTATAAATTCTAATGTGATCCCATAAAACTGTCCTTTATTGATGTAAGTTATACGGTCGTCCTCTCGCCTTTGAGATGTAGATATCGGTGTTTCCAAGAAGTATTTAAATCCTACGTTGGAAATTCTGAAAAGAAAAGAAGGATTGCTAAACCTTCATAATGTTATTTCACAAAACGTATTTGATATTTTTGAAAATGAGTTAAAAAAGAGTTCAGAATTAAGTTTGACTACAACCAAATAAAAAACTTTTAAAGTAGTCGCCACTTAAAACTGTAATTTTAACGTTATGTAATGTTTAAGAAAACGTAACTGGGTTTATGTAAAGTTTTTTGAAAAACTGGTGAATAATAATGGGTACGAGTGCGTTATATGGCTTCCGCGGAAGAGGCCGTGTGACAAGTGTTGTTCGAGACCTCTGACCGTCGTGACAATTCCGGGCCATAGCGCGACCGGTCGAGGTAATTCCGGGAACAAACCGGATTCACTCACATTTTCGGAATCTGGATCTTGTCGGCGTCGTTCTGTCTGCCGAAATCGTGCCACGGCCTACTCCGGTTGCTGGTTTGGGAGCCCGGCGATTGCGATGTGGCGTTTCCCCTCTGGCTGATGGTCAAGGGATCCAAAAGTCCAGGGTTGGTCTGGCAAAGTTCCGTATAATCGAAAGACTAATTAAAAGAAACAAAAATAATTTGTTGTTATCTGGAAATTGAAATAAAATCACCTGTTGCATCGTGGTTTGGTCTCTAGGGGTTATGGCATCGGCACCAATTCCACTATCCGGACTTGGTAGATCCACGGTGAGCCCGGCCGCGGTAGCCGCGGCGATAACTCCCTTCGTGTGGTAAGGTTGTCGAACATAACGCTCGACAAACCCTGACGTGGAGGTGGTTCCTCCGACGCCAGCAGTTGTTTCGTCTCCATATGTCAATTGGCTTTGACGTAGTTGTCCCGTGTAAGCAGGTTCCGGAGTACCAGCTCCGGAAGTAACGGTGTTAAAATATTCTCGATATCCGTAAGGTTCAGAAACTGAAAACGTCACGGAACTCCCCGATCTAACCGATGACGTGGTGGAATAGCTAGCTCCCAAACCACTTTGAGCACTGTATTGGGTGACGTGATCGCCGTAAGGGATCGGAGATGGGGTTCCGCTTCCGCTGTGGGGATTGCTCATAGACGTAAAAATTTGCGCCCCGTACATGGCGGGTTTTAGTCCGTCCGAAGAGACGAACTCTATGGGTCCAGCTCCGGGTCCGGCACCGGATCCTTCGGCTAAGAGACTGCTGTGGGTTGAGGTTGGCGTCCCATTGACCGACCTGGAGCCGTGTTGGGGAGACTTTAATCCGTGGTGGTTTTCATCCTTGATGGAATTGACGTCGACTACGAGATCGCCGGGTTGTCCCGACAATAACACGACCTTGTGACGGGGCTGTTTACTGACGACGATGGAGCCGTCCAGCCCCGGCGACGAGGTGTCGAGCTTGCGGTGGTGGCTAAGATCCTCTGGTTCACGTTTAACTATTTGCAAGTTCTGGTTAGCTGAGCTCGGCGCGTACCCGACGTGTTGGTTGATGAATAAACCCTGGATATCTTGCGGGCTGAGTTGCCCGGTTAAAGGCGGGGCCAAATCTAAACCCGCCCCGCTTACCAATCCATTGGTCGTCTTCAGCTGCGACGTCAGGATACTGCCTGCCTGCGAGCTCGTCCTGTAATAAATACGTTGCGTCACAACACGTGGAGGGGACCGCAGGAACCGTTCTTACTATCGTTAGGTGCGGATTTTCTCTTCGGTCTAATCGATAGGCTACTACTATTTGCTACTCGTTACGTTTGAGTAACCTCTAAATCCACAACGCACACGTCTTGTATCTTTTTAAATTATTTTAACACCCAACAATAAACATTCAAATTAGTTTTTTTTAGTATGATTTTTCCATAAAAATTCATAAAACGTAATTCATTCATACGTAAAGATAAAACATAAATACGACGACTTTGAAAAAGATGGAGATACTTAATTTGAATTAAGAAATATTATGAGAAAAGATGACCTTGGAAAAAGATATTTCAAACACAAAAGAATTTATACTTGAAAAGAACCATAGATAAGACCCAATAAGTTAAAACGTAGAAAATAATAAAAAAGAATCTGCCCTTGAACAACAAAAAAGGAATTTCAAGAGAAGAGATAAGGTAAGATAAAAAAAGAAAGTTTTTTTTGTTTTGTTAAAAATGATTAAGTAAATGATGGGGTAAAAACGTTGCAATTTTTCTTTCGGTCTAAGATCCATCGATTACTGACAATTTTTTGTGGCAAAGCAAATATTTGCTCTCGCACAAGGATGACTATAAAATTCATATATGCAAAACGTTGTCATCACTCACCGTATTGTGAGGACGGGGTGAACCCTTTCGTACCGGAGGCAATTTGACGGCATTGTGCCCTTCGGTGTCGGTATTGAGTCCCGAGGTGCATCACTGTCTTTGCTATAAAAGAACGGAGCACCCCTCGCTCAGCCGGAAGTGATATACGACACTTCAAAATTTTATTGATGCCCTTTTTTCTGCACAATATCTCTCGGTGAATTTTAATGGCGTTTCGTGCATATTTTAGCAGACCGTTAGAGGAGCCCGAGGACCTCGCCGTTACCGGGAAATTTTTTAAAACGACGCCATAAAAGAGTTGTTTGTACGACGAAATGACCGCCGGTTCATGTTTGAGGTTATACGCTCGGATAACGAGCGCCCATTTTCACGCAAAAACTAGTCCCGTCGTGTAACAAGTGTTATTGCAGTTCATGCTCTTACGGTCCTCTCCTATACAGCCCTCTGAGAATTGTTTTTATTTAAAAAAATTTTTTAGTCAACCACAACATGTATTCTCACACCGAAAAATTAAGTAAACTGGATCGATTAATGAATTCAATTCAATTTCAACAGGAGGTTCAATTCCGGAGATTAGTAAATCTTTCTACCTACCGGGGTATTGCATTCATGTTTTGACGTAGTACGGAAAGGTGAAAAAAGGGCGACCTACGTATAACGTATACCTTATCAGCAATGATCGAAATTATTCAAGAGGTAGAATAAAAATAATCCTTGTTTATTTAAAGGCCCTTCCGTACCGGTTCGTCTCCAACCCGGGGCTAAAAGATCTACATAAATTGCTACCGCGCGGCGTTATTCACAATGCCCTAACATGTGTAACTCTAATCCCACTTATTAAAATTCCGCTGATCTGCGCTTTCTTTGCTCGATCTCGTAACGCGATACTAGAGGGGGAAACTCAATTTGCTCGAGCTCAGAGAAATCATTATTTCCGAATTGCGCCTTAATAGAATGCACAATTAGCAGTGGACTATAGACAGTTAGTTACCATAAACGCCGCACGCGGCTCTCGAGGTGTCCTCAAGGTGACCGCGCCACGTTCAACTCACAGACAACACCAACCTCTACTCAAACAAATATGCATATACACTACAAATCTATCTTAAACACTAAAAAACTTAAAATCTATTAAAGGGCCAAATGATCAAATCACGTAAAACGATACTAAACACCTGAGGTAACGCATACAAAACGGATAATACTTACGGCCAAATATCCGCCAATTTATCCTTAGCGTCGGCCGTCAACGGCGGCAATTTGTAGTATTCGTAGATAAGGCCCATCGTAGTGGCCTGATCCTCGGCGCCACCCCCAATGTTTAGCATAGCCGTCGTGGCAGCAGTCAACGGGTGCTCGTAGTATGCTCTCCAAGTTTGGTGTTCCTCGGAAGGAGACTGGCCTCCTTCAGGAATCTCGGCCATAACCCGGTGACCAGCCACCGAGAATCCCGCCTCCTCCTCCGACTCTAAACTATTACTTCGCTTTCTGCAAAATAAAATAGAATACCCGCATGAAGTCACATAAACATCATGCGGAACAACAAAACACTAAATTTACACTTCGCAAAGTGAGATGTTATCTTTTTGGTTAATAAAAATAATTTGGTTCATCACCTGCTTGAAGTGATTTTTACAATTTGAATAAAAATTTAAATAAACGATGTGGTTTGAAATCAAAAGATATAAATTTAGTAAAATGTTTTGTGAAAACTAAGATATCTAAAGTATTTCTAACAAGTTTGAAAAACGAGTGGCGCGACACATCTGCGGTCCTTGTTGAGAGCAGTATATACAGAGAGCTGGGAGTGGTCGGATATGGGTTTTCGATCGAGTTGAATGAAATGGTTCGACTTTCGCGTATATATCAGCCCGAGCAGACATTGTCCTTTTTTTTACGAACTCGCCCGAGTCGCATGGCGTCCGGTCTCGCAGCGCGACGAAATCTTTTTCACCGACTTCGCCTTGCGCGGAGCCTTTACATAACCTTACACACGGGCGCAATTAACCTCACGGATTATATCTTGGTTTTTCGGACCGATCTAGTTTTTAAATGTCAGCTTAACTCTAATGTTAAATTTGATATTTACGTATGCGCTTAACCTTTAGAGAAAAAAACAAGCGAAAACCATTGTGACACCGGACCGAAATTAATCGTTGCACAAGTGGAATTAATATCAACAAAAAAAATTACTACTGCTGCTGTAATTAGAAATAGTGTGGCCTCGCCCAAATTAACCTTTAAAATTTTACAAATCCGGGCTACAAGGGTCACATTGATTTGATATGTTAATAAATTCTGATGTAATGATTTCTTAAGAAAAAAAGTAAGTATAAAGAGGGTTAAGATTTACTAGTTAAAACTTTTAAAGTGTATTTTCGCGTTCAGCATTAGCGACTTTGCGCGACTATAAAACGCCCAGTCTTGTATTAACACTTTGGGACGACCGTCCGTTTTATGGTTCCGATTTTACAGTCGGCTCATTTACCAAACTTATTTATTAAACGTGGAGTTTATCGCGGGACGTTCGTCGGTTATAAATGCGAGACCCTCTCTCTTGGAAAATCCCACGAATCCAAACTGACCGGTGTGTACCTTCGGTTACAAAAAAATCTACGGGAGGGTAAGGACAGAGGTCAACTTAACCGGTTCTAACCCTTACTGTCCATCAGGGAAAGATTCCAGTAGATATACACGAGGGGGGTGATAGTTGAAAGACGGATTTAAGTTCCAAAGGACGCGATAGCGTGGTTAGAATAAACACAATTTGCGCAGATGCTCGCAAGGTTATTTAAAGAAGCACTATGCAATAAATCATCTGGCAAATAAACAGTCAGTCGTCGCGCAAAAAAAATTCAACGTCCAAGTTAACACTCGGAAGAATTCGAATTTTATGCAAATGCAAAGTTGTTCGTTGGTTTTTGCGATATCCCCCGTTTGACGCTTTGATCGGTGCCAACATTTATCGGGCCTTATAATTATATCGCGCGATTATATCTCTTTTTTTCGTTCCCGATCAAACTGTAATTATAGAAAGGCTTTAATGGGCGATTTTGCTTTTATTATGTCTGCATCTTAATCGATTAAGTCGATTACATCGCGTCGAGGAACCAGAATTTTACACTCCAACTCGATCCCGCAAGAACTTTTTCAACGGCGATTATAACCGCGATTGTTACACTCGTCCGCTTGATTAAAAATGACGAAATTCTCGAGAATAACACACGAGAAAAGAGGGGAATCGATAATTGATCGGCGCAATTAAAATTGATTGCCCAAAGACTTTGCACCGAAATAAAATCTTTTAAATGACCTGCGTAAGGTTAATTATTATTTATTTCAGAAGGTCGGGAGGAAACAAAAAATATGATGTTGTAGTTTTATAGAATTAAATCATCTTCTATATTTCAATACGATAAAAAGATATAAAAAGATGAATATAAAGTTGGGTTGGGCGTTATGAATCGTCAAGGGTGGTCTACGGACGTGTTAACCCTTGGATACAAACCGCCAAAAGTTCGTACAAGAAGGGAACGAAGCGCACATATAGCTCCGGGAGATGAGATGCCATCACAATAACAATTGTTGCTCGCACAAAGGGTCGCTTTTTTAAGAGTAGGCAAGTCGCTCGCGTCTTCTTTGTGCTTACGCGAGCAGGTAACTAGATGCCGTCTGCACGGACGCTTGCTCACATCAACACTCCTCAATATCAATCAGGTCTGCACCTATCCAATACCGTATGACTTCATTTCGTACAAGATTGACAACCATCCAAATCGACATTCGTGCCAAACGAACTTTGAACCATTCATCTTCCTTTTACAATTTCTATACCATTTTTTATATCTTATTATTTAGTTTACGCGTCAAATACCATAATACATATTTTTTTTTATTCATATTGACATCTTTTACTAATCAAGTTTGATTGAAATACAAAATAAAATATATATTAATTAATATTATTACCAGCAAAACCATTAAGACGGCTAAACCCGAATGTTTCTGGTTCTAGATCTAGTGTTAGTTCTATTTTAATTGTATACAAATAGACAAAAATCTAGTGCTGAACAATAACTAGACCTAACACTAGTACTGGAACTAACACTATACCTTAAGAGCCACACTACAAGTCTAGTGTTAGTTCTAGTATTGCACTAGCACTATTACCAGAACTAACACAAGACCTAGAACTAGAATCATTCGGGTTTAGCCGTCTTGAGAGACGTGCGGCTAAACCCGAATGATTCTAGTTCTAGGTCTAGTGTTAGTTCCACTTTTAGTTCAATAAAAATATTCCAAACTCTAACGTTGAATAACAATTAAAACTAGAACTAGCACTAGAACTAACACCTAGAACTAGAATCATTCGGATTTAGCCGTCTTGAGAGACTTGCGGCTAAACCCGAATGCTTCTAGTTCTAAGTCTAGTGTTAGTTCTAGTTTTAATTGTCATTCAGCGTTAGATTGTGGTATATTTTGATTGAACGAAAAGTAGAACTAACACCAGACCTAGAACTAGAATCATTCGGGTTTAGCCGTCTTAAGAGACGTGCGGCTAAACCCGAATGATTCTAGTTCTAGGTCTAGTGCTAGTTCTACGTTTCGTTCAATAAAAATATACAATAATCTACAAAATATTTTGTCCAGGTTTTAGTGTATTAATATATCTGTAGAGATTCATATGATCTATGAGATATCTATCATATGATATGTAGAAATTAGATGATTACATTACAATATATGTGTGAGATTTTGTTATATAATGTCCAGAAAGATCATTTGGTAATAAATGTGCCTATGACATTCAAAATTTTGCTCATTGATGCAGATGGATTAAAAATATTTGATGTCTGAATGATGGACCGTATGGCATCAAACGTCTACAATAACAATGTTATTTCATGTTATCCCGTAATTTAAAAATATTTTCGCGACATATTGATACATATATTTAATGGCGACTTGCAAATATCTGAGATGTAAACGATAACATGATCTATTTATATGATATGTAAATATTACAAGTCTACCACAAAGTTTAAGTTTTTGGTAATTAGCTTCACACCTGATGTGTTAATGCCAAGAAGATTTTTTCGATATGATATGGAAACATCAGATATAATATATTAAACGTGATGTGTCATATGTGATTCATCCGGAAATTCAGGCCAAACTTTGAAATCGTTAGAGTATCAATCTGGCAGTAATTCGATGACTCAGACAAAATCCAACGAGAAAATATCATCAGCAGAGCAACGAAATCTTCTTTTTTTCAGCTACTCTTCCTCAAGTCTCTATTAAACTAAATGTCTTAATCGCTTATTATGCTACTGATGCAGAATTATATAGTGCAAAAAAATATAGTGCAGAAGATATCAAGATGACGTCAAGTATCAATTCTCATATTGCACTGTATTATATACATTTAAATAGATTCTTCAATTTATAAATAATTATTAATTAGGTCGAATATCTGTATGATATATGATAATAAGCATCAAATATCTACATGACTATGTTGCCATAATAATATATAAACATTGATATAATTCAAAACAATTAATAATGATTATATATATATATAATTAAAAAGAGTATAAAAGTGGTGTATTGTAATGTGTAATGGTATATTATGATTTTATAGTCGATACTCGTTGTGCGAGATATTAGAAATTGAAATCTCGTAATGCAAGACGTATAAAATTGCTAATTTGCTTCGAGAGCCACGCCCGCGGTAGTTGATTAATTATGTAGACGAGGAAAACGGCTTTTCGTTTCTTTGGCGGTCGTAAATCTTAAAGATCGGAGAGTCGGCCGCGATCCGTTTTTCGGGCGTGATGTGCCAGGGGTGCAAACACAAATAGTCTGCATTATTTGCAGTTGGAATGCAAAAATTGGCCTCATATTTCACTCGAGACGAGATACATATGTTAATTTTATAGCATCCCTTAAACCCTTTTCGGAATGCTGCTCAACGTATTTTTTTGTACGCAAAACGTGAGAAGCTGCTATGTAATTTTTTGTTATTTTATTTGTTGTTGTGTGATATTTATGATTTATGAAAAATAGTCTTTATGTATGGGTTATATAATATGTGACTTGTTAGGTACGTCAATTAATCGAAAAAAAGAAAATGCTAAACGGCTGTCAAGATATTACGTTGATGGAAAGTATTCGGTCCGGTTCAATTAACGATTCGGTTACGTACTTTCGATAACTGGAAGAAAAAGCGGCTCTTTGTTATAAATCAAGTGGCAGCGCTGAATTTTCTGGCGCATGAATAATGCATGCGGCCGGGACTTCATAGTTGCTGACGATATATCATCGACCGCACTATATTTAATATAAGGCCATCCGGAGACGCGCGCAGAATGCTGATAAGCCCATCTAATTTCGAACTGTGAAAGATCTCCACCCTTCGCAGGCGGCTGCCGCGTACCGCAAAAAGAACCGGTCGCTCGACGCGAAAAAAAAACCCATTGTGT